ATATTTTAGATATATATACGGCCGTTGGTTATGAAATTTATATAACATATATATAAATTACCGGAAATAAACTCAATTTTAACAAAGTGCAGGGCAGATCTAGACCATTCTGGTTGAAAGCTTCAATGTGATAAAGTATACAGTTCAAGTTCAAGTTCCAAAAGAGATTTGACAATGTATGAACACTGCGTTGTTTAAGCTGTGGGCTCCGAAACTGATACCACAGTGAATATCATAAGTGATGAAGCTCTAAGCGAACACAAACAACGACACTTTATGTATAAAACGATCTCTTGATCCTTCGGGCAAGTGGGCTAAAAATGATAGAATCGCGTTAAGAAGCCCGTTCAAAATGGCACATAGTCTTAAGCTTGTTGTCAAGCGTGACGTTATAAGCGTTAAATATAAAGCTATTTATTCCCGAACTTTTTGATGACGCGATATTGTCCTCGTGTTACTTTGGAATATGTAATAAAAAAGAAAAAGAACAAGATTTTCATGTTAAATACCAAATACAGATGTGAACATCTCTGGTATTCCGTCTTTGCGTATTTCACCCATGACATATACATGACGTAACAACCAATACCTGCTCTCAAGAGAAGATAACTCTGCAATACGCAAAGACGGAATAGCAGAATGTAACGTTATTTTCACCTATGACATATACACGGTATTCAACAGATATATTTATATCTGATTAGTTACAACGTTAATAAGAAAAAGAAAGATCCGCCTCATAAAGCGTTGTTTCGCCTCCTCCTGACAATTCATTCTGTATCGTTATTGACAGCTTTTGAGTCTTGAATCAAATTCATTATCTTACTATTAATTTCCTTTACGAATCAAATCGTTTACGTACGCGTTTTTCCGTTCGTGTTTCCTGTAGACGTCAAAGTGTCGATGCAGACCCGGATTAGCAGGTTTTGCAAGTGTAGGATGCCGATGCTGACTGATATAACCGGAAGAGGGTGATGTGACCGGATGCTGGCTAATATAACCGAAAGAGGGTGATGCCACCGGGTGCTGGCTAATATAACCGGAAGAGGGCGATGTCACCGGATGCTTGCTGGTATAACCAGAAGAGGGTGATGTCACCGGATGCTGACTGATATAACCGGAAGAGGGTGATGTCAACGGATGCTGGCTAATATAACCGAAAGAGGGTGATGTCAACGGATGTTGGCTGGTATAACCGGAAGAGGGTGATGTCACCGGATGCTGGCTAATATAACCGGAAGAGTGTGATGTCACCGGATGCTGGCTGGTGTAACCGGAAGAGGGCGATATCACCGGATGCGGGCTGATAAAACAGGTAGAGTGCGATATCACCGAATGCTTTCTGGTATAACTAGAAGAGGGTGATGTCACCGGATGCTGGCTGGTATAACCAGAAGAGTGAGATGTCACCGGATGCTGGCTGGTATAACCGGAAGAGGGCGATATCACCGGATGCTGGCTAATATAATCGGAAGAGGGTGATGTCACCGGATGCTGGCTGGTATAACTAGAAGAGGGTGATGTCACCGGATGCTGGCTGGTATAACCGGAAGAGGGCGATATCACCGGATGCGGGCTGATAAAACAGAAAGAGTGCGATATCACCGAATGCTGGCTGGTATAACTAGAAGAGGGTGATGTCACCGGATGCTGGCTAATATAACCGGAAGGGGGTGATGACACCGGATGCTTGCTGGTATAACTAGAAGAGGGTGATGTCACCGGATGCTTGCTGGTATAACTAGAAGAGGGTGATGACACCGGATGCTGGCTGGTATAACAGGAAGAATGCGATATCACCGGATGCGGGCTGAAGCCAATAGTTTATCTTTTATTCAATTTGATTTATATCATAAAAAATCCCTAATTTGACAGCAATATTTCGAATACAAAGTTACCTCCCTTAGATGTCCTTTTCGAGAGACTGCTTTAGGGTACTTACCTTGTTTAAGAAGATGAATTGTGGTTGGAGCAAAAGTTAAACTAGATGAGGTCAAGGGTTCAATCTCCTGCCTAGCAAAGTGTAATTTGTTACATTAAAACACTGTTTTTGATTATTTGTGTTCTTTTATCCTCCTTTTTGGTTTTAAATAGTTCCACAAGTAAGATTTCGTTTAAGAAATGATTGATATAAAACCTATTGTCATGCCAGACACACAGGTTTCCAATGCATAATTACAGGGATTTGGCAATGCCATAGGGATTCTTAAGCAAATACATGATGAATATGTACATACTTATATACGTTAATGTCTCTTCTACAAAGCTTACCACATAATTATACATAACAACGTGCTAACATAGCAATGATCTAATGTCATCACGCATGCCTACGCTTAACGTTACAACATCATAATGTCACGGAGGTTGCAGTTTGTCGTTCATTATTGCGCAACGCCTTGCAATTTATTTTAATAGATTACAGTGAGAATCAACCGTGTTCATTTTGAAATAGAGATGAATGTTATTGCACTTGAAATTGATTTAAAACCTTATCACATATCGCTAGATTTCTCACCTTGATAAAACAATACTAATGAATTCGGCATTCCTTTTGGAGAACAGATAAATGAAAAGGCGGGAAGAATGCCTCCACAAAATATTAAGCAGTGCACTCTCTAACGGAAATAATTATTAATATTCATAAAAATGAAATTCATCTTTTTAACTTTTACAATGGTATGAAATACAGTTATGTTCAAACATTTCAATGCTACGCAATATTGTTCATTGGAAATTATGTCTGAATGGAACTATCCTTACTTTATCATTCGCGGGAAAAAACCCCAAAAACATTTTGTTTAAAAATCACGTTCTTTATTATTTTATGCGGTTGAAACTGTTTGTTAATACAAACTGTTAATCAATTGATTGAACAGCCACTTTGGCGGGAACAAGATCGTGGTTATTATGGTTACCAGTTTCCTCCAGTGGCGAACGAAAATCGGAAAACCATTCGGGAATTTCCGTCATACTTTGAATTAGACAACACGCCACGATTGGTCCACGAATATTCAAATTATCAAAGGGAAGACCCGAACAGTTCACGATTGATAATTAGTATTGGCATGTAATAGCTCTTGCTGTTATCACCTTACGACTATGGATAGCGAAGGTAAATAAAAGGGTTCTCTCTAACAATTTTATTTTATTTTGATATAGCATTTTCCGAGCAGAGTCATAATGGCGTAATACTTAAATTAACATTAAAGTAGGCGTACAAAAAGCTATACTATTTGTGTTGCAAGACTTTTTTCACATATAATGAAGTTTTATAGAGATTTTCAACACTTATTTTTCTCATGTCTACTATTCAAAATCATATATTCCACTTTCTCAGCCTCATCAACTGGCACCATCTTGACATGTAAAGGGTCCCGTATCGGAGATGTGGGTGTTCTAAATTAACCCCGGTGACCATCTGTCCGTCCGTCTGTCCGTCAATACTTTCATTTCCGGAGATTATCTCGGAAACCGAAATATCAATCTGGCTAAAAATATGACATGTTGATATGTATACAGTGATTTGTAAATGTGCAACAGGGTTTGAAAACAGTTTTGAAAAATGTCAAGGTTAAGTTCACTGTAACTAATATAACATATACCCTAGGATTATGGTCGGAATTCAAAACTGTAATCTCTTGAAATGTTTCACATAGAGATACGTTGCGATATATAAATGCGTAATAGGGGTGTATTCATGTTGTAAGGTCAAGGTAAAGGTTAGTGTTACTTAATATAGACTTGGAAGGGTGGGTGTTCGGTAAGGCGCATGAAAAGATCCTTGCTGACAAGTGTTCTAGTCTATATACTTTCACGTGAAGAAAACATATATTGCATACCGTGAACCTGCAGCATTATTGTTCTAGAATAAAAAAAGAAAAAGACGTCAAAATTGAGACTTATGCGTGTACAATATAAGTACGTTCATTTAATATCGGCCATACACTAACTAAGTTAACATCTGCGGAGATAATACGCGTAAAACATAAGCTATATATAATTCTGTTATAACTTGAATATTGGGCTATGTGCAGCGTACCCCTGTAGCTCTATATGACGTAGTTATGATAATAATGTGGTGTTCGATACCTGAAACAGAAGAAGTAACAAAGGAACGCCGAAGTTATGTTCCTTTATTAATTGTTCATTTTTGTTAATTAAAAAAAGGAGAGGTGATAGTTTGCGCAGTTGATAACGCACTCGTCTCACACCAAGGCGACTGGGGTTCGATTCGTCGATCAGACGTGAGCAGGTGTAGGGTCACCTGCCCGACCACGTTGGTTTCCGCCGGGTGCTCCGGCTTTCCTCGCACAATAACTCTCCTAGTGCGCTAACATCCTGACCAACAAAATCGATTTATATAATTTGTAACAACTTCTTTCATAATTGTTGTAAAACATATATAGATATATAGTTTACAAGTAATGATTCGATAATTGTGCCACTGAATATGTTCTAGGGAATACTAAAACCCATCTTAGTCAAGATACTGTAAAAGTTTGTTTTTTCGCAGTTTGGAAATGTTTTACCTCGAAAATGTCCAAACGCGTGTATAAAGATAGATTATTTAGACTGTATGTAGAAAGAGAATGAAGACTTAAGAACAGCTGTCAACGCAATGAAATTAAATCATTATCAGTTTTGAAAGTAACAACGCGAAAATTTCCGCACGCGAAAACATCTTTGGTTTCAGTAGAAAACGGAAAACAAGTATACACATACATGTACACATGTACGCACTACACTTAATATTTAAGGTACAGGCGCTCATACTAACAATCTGAAGCACATGCACTTACTATTTCTTAAACAGTGTTATCTAAATATAAAAGAAGGTTAAAAAATTAAAATTAAGAGTAAATAAATGAAATTTAATTATGCACGCAAAAAAATAACCGTTCATTCTAGTGCCTGTCCAGCTGTCACTGTGGGCTTAATAAGTGTTATTGATGTCCGCCACGCCAATCGCTACAGGTATATTACAGGTAACTCACAGGTATAGCTCAAGTAAATCTCAGGTAAGCGCTGGAAGGTATATGACGGAGACCTTTGGGACAGGTATATAAGGAGGACCGTCAGACTTGAATAGGGTTCGTCGGAGCCAGTTCTGCTTATCAACTCTTTCACGGGAATTACACGTTTGCATTGTCTTGTGTCTCGCATCAGGAAAAATGCTTTCGTTGGTAGTTACAGTGGTCCTTCTCGGTAAGTATACTTTACGAATTTTAATTTTAATTTATAAAAAAACGAAACGATATAATATAAGACTTGAAATATATGCGAAAAAATATTTGAAAATATACTGATTTTTTTAATTGATATGTTTTAGTTACCTGTATATACATTTGAAATAATAAAAACAATAGCACAATGTGGAAAAGGATATACAATTATGATCTTAATTTGTAATTGGTTTTTAACAATAGTTGGTGTTTTACCGGACTTTTAACAGATTTGCATAACTCATTAAATCATTGCAAAATATAGTGTTAGGTATCCTGTAGCTACTATCGTGATATATTAATGGATGTTTCCTATACAAATCATGTCTTTTACTCTTATCATTGGATAAGGTATATACATGTAATTGCAAGGGGAAATCAAACATAATACATATATAAAAAGGCCACTGAACTGAAAATCAGACTAACTCTGCGCTCTTTTTTGCGAGAGTCGAACAGATAAAACAAAATGTACTAACACGTTTTCATCTCTCAACATTAACCTGCAAACATATAAAAAAAAAAAGTTTGCAACGCTATTTGAAACAAAACTATAACCTGGCCATATGTTTAACCAAACCCCAATTGAAGTAGCCCAAAATGGAATTATGGCATTATATAGTTTAAATTGTCTAGCATTATGAGGATTCCCTTTCCAACACAGGATATGCTTGTAAGTTATGAAATAATATGTTTAAATAAGAAAATGTCCATATCTTCATAAGCGAAAATGATTTCTAATATGCAAATATTTGCCAAATATAGGGTTTTAATAGCTAAAGGGAGATCAATTATAAATGTATATGCATATATATAAATGAGTATGAACGGGTCAAAAAAGCAATGCATCGTCTTGCTTCGCTAGCTTCGTACTTATACTTTTACATAGACATATTGCGAATGGACACACCCACATCTATAACGAGAAGGAATGACAAAAGTATCCCTTATCTTTCTGCATTAAAATGTATAACCAAACAATTACCTCGAGATCGCTAAATCGTGTTAATAAAAAAAGTATCTCTAAAGCAAAAAAGTAAAGTCACGTTCACACACTCTTTAAGTTAATAACCTTCTTATCTATTTGTTGGAATGTGTCTGTCTCTTCCATCTAGCCCTTGGTAATATTCATATGTTTCTCTAACACCTGAGACCACATTATTTACAATTTGAAAACGAGTCACTAACAACTAATTTAGCATATTGTATAAAAGAGAAGGGAGTCTCTAAAACATTGGTCAAGTATACTTTAAAACAGGGAGCGCCTTAACTAAACATAGTTTACTTAGTTTAGTTTAGAATCTCAAATTTAATCCCGTACATTTTAAAAAGGATAATTATGTTTGTTAAACCTAATGCTGTAAACTATAAAACAGGGGAAGGCATTATCAAAAGGTACGTCTAAAAGTTGGTTAATTTTTAAGACTTAATTGAGTTACAACGGAGAAGGGAGTCTATAAAGGCTAGTTAAGTAGATTGAGTTAAAACTGAGAAGGGAGTCTCTGAAAGCGAGTGAAGTAGATTGAGTTAAAACTGAGAAGGGAGTCTCGGAAAGCGAGTGAAGTAGATTGAGTTAAAACCGAGAAGAGAGTCTCTAAAAGCGAGTGAAGTAAATTGAGTTACAACGGAGAAGCTGGTCTCTAAACTCTGCTCAGTGCATTATATAACAGAAATGAGTTTTTTTTCAAATTAGCCCGATGTTTTTCCCAACACACAAATAACACAACATTATACCGAAGTGTTACTGAAATCATAGTACACGGAGAAAACAATCTCCCTTAAATCTAGATATGTATAAATTACAACAGAGAAGGTTTTTTTTAAATCTTGTCCAGCATATTTGAGAATGGAAAGGGTCGAAAAATGGTCAGTATATTGTAAGCTAGTTAGGTTAGTGTGTAACGTTTATTTTGTATACTTTATTATATAGATAGGAGTCACTAAGATCTAGTCAAGTATACTTTACAACCGAAAAGGGAGTCAATGAAAAATAAACTAGTACATACATCGACCGAAACAAAAACGTGAATCCAAAAACTCGTCTAGTACATGTTACGACGTCGAAGAGAGTCTGCTTAATCGTGTTCGGTGTTACTTAGAAAGTTGAGGGAACCTCCATATTGTTTAAAAAAATGACAGATGCAGCCATAAGGAGTCATCTTTTCATGTGTTTATAATCTGTATACAGTGATATGTTATACAAATCTGTTAGGTATATTAGGTGTTTAATAGAACTAGAAATGTTCGTAAGTTTACATTAATTGATTAATTCGTATTTAATAAAATGTCATATTGCATTTGTTGTAGGCCTGGCCGCAAGTGGTAAGTTTTATTGTCTTACAGAATTTTATATGTATTCTTAAAGTCAAGTTTTTCAAATTTCAATTTTTAAGTGTAAAACAAGTGATTTTGCAAGATTTATATAACAATTAAATCACTCGCATTTTTGTTTTATAAATAAGATGTTTGCTTTATAAAAGTTATTATTTTGATTTTGTCATAATTGATTTGTATTACTGTATTCAAATTCAATTAAATTTTAATTCAATGCGTTTTTATATGGTCAACAACCTATAAAACAAAAAACGCTGTGTGGTGTACCTTTTATCGATTGGAAACTTCAAGGGAAGGAATATGCAGCATTTATATCTACATGTATACCTTTCTGAAAGTGTAATCCATTTTAAAAAGGAACACTTTTAGTATTGATACAGAGCAATATGTCATACCAAACAATGTTACACAATGATACCAACACCACACAGCCTTAAACAGGTCTAAGTTTTCTGCAGTATACACAACATAGCACTACTACTAAATTGATTCTTTTCTTCCATATTGGAAAATTGTTAAAACACATATTTTTGGAACCAGAACATGCTTTGGTAAGATCTGTCCACTCAGAAACACACTCTACAATGTACCTGCGTCTGAAAACTAGGATATGTCACACATACGAACATATATATAATAGTAAACTGCGAGATAACACTAAACTAAATATGTTGACCTCGTTGCAACACCTGCGATCTGTCCTATTCTTTTCCTTCTTCTCTGCCCATTCATTTCAGTTGTGTCTTCATATGCACATTATTTCCAATGATCTGAGCTGAAGAACTCGTAATTTACAAAATTACAAACAGTTTTTAAGGTTGCAATATTAAGGACACATTGATATAGCCATAACGGCATGCGTATATTGGGTTCTTATTGGAATAAACCACATTTGTTTATTTCTAAAGATAACATATGGCGCATTTGTTTCTGTATGTGACTTTCTTAATCCGAGATTCCCCGACAGTTTCGAATAGCGTTAGTCCAGTTTTTAATACATGCTTGCAATATCCAAATCTGTTCAAAAAGTGGTTACTTTGATCGCACCTAAAGATGACGTCATGCTATTGTTTTGAATGAGACGTCATCATCCAAACATGTCATAATGAGAAGGAGTTCTTTCAAAAAGCTTATGATATGAGCACCCATTCCCCTTTTAATGGAAGCAATTGATTGTGTTACTTGACACAAACAAATATTTTAAATAATCAAAGCAAAACTTTTGCATGTTTGGCCCATATTTTCGGAATTTTCAATGTTAATCATTAATATTTCTTCAGTCTTTAATAAGGTCAATACAGGCATTTAGTTCAAACAAAAATAGCCAGCACAAGTGTTCCAGTCGTTCTTCACGAAACAGAGTTATGTTTTTTCTTCAAGCTTGAACGGGGTTTTTTTTTTTTTTTTTTTTTTTTTTTTTTTTTTTACTTAATATACAGCCGATGATTTGTTATTTTATAACGATTTAGGAAAAACGTATTACATGGCAATAGTTTTAGGTTAGAAATCTTTTTTTGGAAGATCCCGACTCAAACATTGCCATCAGGTCTATTGGCAAAATTTCCCCACTACACAGCATTACCGTTAACATTCTCGACCCCTTACCTAGATATATTAATATGTCGTGTGTCGGTTACCTTGGTTTTACACGACGAACATATGTGGACTACCTCAGCCCTATGTGGTTCTCTGCGAATTTTTTAATGTGTGTCAATGATCCGTTTTAATGATAGTGTGACGCCTTAACTTTAATGATATGCCATTATGTGTTGACGCTATGACATTTCACAAAAGGTAATATAATAATATTACTGCACTCGCGTATTATTAAACAATATGTTACTGTACTCACGAACTATTTAATTAAACGAACGGAATATTGATAGCTATAGGAAATAAATATTCTGATATAGAGTATTATTGCTTACTCAGCAATAAAGCTTAATGGCGTCAGTGTAACGTTCATGGCGTTTCAGACGTAGAGACTGACCTATGATTAATATATTTGACAACACGAGAATAAAAATTGATTACACAAAAAACATGCAGGTGTAAGAGATGTCATCTTAGCTTCCGTGTATTACGAATGAATCGAATTTAGCAAGGTAAGCATGTACTGAGTATGTGTCATGCTTATTTGATTTAATATGTATATATTTATGGTGTAAAAACAAATATACTAAAACCAGATGTATTATGTTTCATATCTAAATATATATGCAAATTAACCGAAGAAGTGTTTTTTTGTAAACTTTGTGTCTTTCGTTACTGTTAAAAATATATACCAAGAATTAGATGATCAATATACTTGCAATTTTATAAGTATAATAACGATTACCTATTTACAATAGATATATAAGTACAATGGCCAAATTGAAAAATAAGAGGTAGATAAACGATGTCAAAGAAAAGTTTATCAGGAATAGGATTCATACAATAGGAAAATTAATATCACTAATTAAAAAAATACCATAGCTATATGCAAAACGAAGGCGAGATATTGTTCTAAGGGGTAGATACACACATTGTTCTAGTTTCTAACAGGGATTAGATAAATACTATAGCCAATATCATCTGTTATGGAAAATATATATAACACACATTTATCAGAACCAGGGCACATGTCTGACTTCACTTGATTCGTAATAAATGTATATAGCTACACCCTTTTTTACGTGACAGAGATGTCATTATTTGAATTAAAAGGAAATAACTCTTTGGCTTCTTTCGTTTGACAGTTAAAATAGTCTATCGTGTTCATGGTATCGTATTTGTCAAGTTATGAAACCATTTTGAGTGACATTTGACCTCAACAAATTAATTGATGTCCTCTTTAACTTAATACAGCAAGTGATTGTTGACCTTAAAATTAACATAATTTAGTTTGATGTGTATGTAGATGTTATGTTGTTCATTGTGGCTTGCCCTTTCCGTCACGACGATAGTAAAATAATTAACGGATTAAATTATTAGAGGATGAAAAATAGACGACAGATTGAGCCTAATTGTTAATGTATGTAAATTATTTTTATTCGTTTCTGTCACCAAACACGGAGGTAAACGTCGTGTTAAGATATGTATCGTGTGGTAAAAGAAATATAATAATCTGAAATTGAACGGTGAGTGTTAAACGATGATAAAATGTCCAATATCTGAATAATTGAACAACGAAAAGTATAATACAACGGTAATGTGATATACAAATTAAAAAAAGTAACGCACAAAATCAAATAAAGATTAAAGACCATTAAGTACATGCTTGAATATATAATTTAATCAACATTTATATATCACTCATTAAGCCTCATTTAACTGAAAGTGATATCGTGTTACAGGTTTAATTAACACAAAAAACAGCGATGGGGAGATTTAAACTGGACTCCTAGAGGAAATTTTCTTTAAGTAGAGATTGTTTGGTGTATATGTTGAACTGCATATTATTACATTTAACCTAGTTTTGCTGCTGTATTATTTGTGGTTTTACTCTACCACGAAATAATATATGAATAGGAACAATTTAATTTAGTGTAGGATAATGCACATTATTACATTTAACCAAGTTTTGCTGCTGTAATATTCGTGGTTTTACTCTACCACGAAATAATAGGAATACGAACAGTTTAATTTAGTGTAGGATAATGCGTATCGCCTATGTTAGCATAATCGACTTTTAGATGGACATACCTATTGCGATTTAGTATGCACTGAATTCTTTATAAAACTAGTGATGCAATTCTTTTAGCTATTTTTTGTTTTACGTCAGCATTTGTTTGTTGACATTCACTAAGCTTAAAGTTAATTTATGCACAGTTTCAACATTTTTTTAACATCAGATAATTCATTTTTCGAAATGCAATTTGTTGTAATTGACCACACCACAAACCACACATAAATAACACCGTGTCAATGCATCACTGTAATCAATTTCAAACTCGAAGAACAACGTTAATGCTTTATCACTTGTAAAACCACAGAGCGCGTCATCCTATTGTGCATACGGACATGTGGTTGATCAATTTTTATGTGGATCAATGCAAAATCTGCCTACTAAGACACATAAACACAGCATATATATAAATTGATAGACGAGTGTTTGGACAGTTACGAGAATAGATAACAATGAACGCACAATCTCCCGGGGCCCTTGGTTTGTTATACGATCCAGTTATTGCAATTGTACATGCCTTATTGACACTTTATGGCATGCGCATTGGCCTCTTTCATTAACGATGGTCGGCTCTACTCATAAAACGTTAACGGCCGACGACGAGGACAACCTGGGCCCGTCAACCATACATCAGACCACTGATCATATGATATAAGAGCAGACCTTTGTCTGACAACAGCTTATCAATCAGGGTCGCCTTTATGACATTTTACCGAATCGTTTTATTGCATAACTGTTCGTCCTCTTTTCAAATATATATTTTGATATAATGGCATCAGAAATAATATACCGGGACAATTTTGTCCATTGAATGTCTCGCCCTTTACCGTCTTAATCCATATTGAACTAACTTTGAAGTTGAAATGAAGACAATAGGGAAAATTAATTTTTGCAATCTATATATATATATATAATTTTAATTTAATATAAATTTATTGGAAGACTAAACATAATAAAGATAAAAATATAAGGCACTAGTTATTTTATTTTATGGTAGGGTATCATGTATACTACAGAGATTGTTTTAGTGTAAACACCCAATAACAAAATCAGAAATCCTATCACAAGATGATATCAAAAAGATAAGAAACAGCAAAACAACTGGAAAAACACATTATTTGATAAATAACGACACTTGAAACCACTGTAAGATGAAAGAGTTTGAGAAGATAATGTGCCGATAAAGACACAGCTGTCTGGCTTTACACTTACCCTGGGGCGCGTATCACCAACCATGTAACTCTGTTATTGATCAGGTGACAAGGTTGACACACCTGAATGCTAAAATTGATAGCATCATCTATATTATTTAGGATCACTAGTGGTGTGTATGACATTAGTGATTTCACGTGTGGGAGGGACCTGTCAATCAATCCCACCATTAACTTGATTTGACATTTTGTTTGTAGCGTCAGCATGTAATGCTTGTTGTTAGATACTTAACATTTTGTTACCTGTCGGTGCATTGTGATGTGTCATTATATGTTTTACTGTTTCTGTAGTAAGCATAAGAACGAATATGATCGTTATCATTTAATAAATATATATAAGATCTACCACTAGGCCTTTCTGTTGTCTAGGCCTCAGACTCATAGGGAAAAATGGCATTGCCATTAAGCTATCGCGTACTTATCATTTCTGTCCAGCATACCTAATTCCTTACCAAATTATACAAAGATATCTATGGTATGTCGTACTTTGTGTTGTAACCGATGTTACAAGTAATTCAATGCCCATTTAATGACAGGAGATATGCTTCAGCATGACACGAATAGCAAACGATGTATATTTTACTAACGCATGATAGTTCAAACGAAATGTCCATTTGATGAAACTGTTAAAAACGACTTGTCAACTGCTTGGTTGTAATCGTCTGAGACATAACTTTTCGGATTTGATGAGTTTTCCNGGGGGGGGGGGGGGGGGGGGGGGGGGGATTGTTGCCATGTCCCAAATGCTTCTGCTCTAAGGTTTTTACATATGTCTTGAAGTGTTGACAATTTTTGTGTGTATTTCTATTTAAATTCGAGTCATTTGTTGATGGGCAGCAAATTTATTTGAACACAAGCACTAAAAAAAGACTACCGCTTAATATGTACATTTACAATGACCTCTATTCAGTTTATAATATGATACCAGTAGAAATTTGAGAGTCAAGAACACTCGTATTACGCAAACAGTTGTCTGTCCTATTCAAACAGGAATACAAGTCATCCAGCAACTATCGTAGCATTACAAGTAATAGTAACGATACAACAATCATATTATTCAAAAACAAAGCACCACCATTGAAACATTGCTGCTAGTGGAGGCGATTATAAAATACAACAGCCCTTGGATACACGACACCTTGATTTACTAATTTATAAACTCTAGACCCCTCACCACCGAAATCTAGAAGATATGGACACAATGGTAAGTTGATGATCCTCGGATCAAACAAGGCTTCAACACGTTGTTAATGACAGACGCTTCTGTAACAGCTCACAAGCACCATGACTACACACAAATTTCACCTCTGTCTGGAAGAGCAACATTTTGAGCAGCGCTTAATTGGATATGTTAATCCATTTCGGTTGAAGCAAGTTCCATTAGGCAAATATTTTATTTAATCTTTTTGTTTTATTGTTTTGTTTATAAGAAATGTGAGTAATTTTTTTTTTTTTTTTTTTTTTGCTTTTGGACTGAAATATAAATCAGAATAGCTTAAAAAAAACTCGATTTGATGTCCCTAATTATATTTGCCACCTTGCTAACCGCCAACAAATTTCCTGAAAAAATCATCTCAATTTAGCACAAAACGTAATAACGCCGACATCTGCGGACAAAATGCGTAACTATAACTAGGTGTCTCTGGATTTCCTATTCATGTTTCATATAGATCGGGAAGGCTATGGACATTGCTTCAACTGAGTCATTCACACAATGTTCAACACGGCTTTATGTAATTCCACATCTGCAAAATGAATTCATTACCATTTTGAATCATCCATTAACATTTTCATCAAATCGAATACCATGTCATTGCATTACACAACTGCAGCTTTCCACAGCGAGTTTTTATATTCGTTAAGTGACCGTAGTATCAAATTAAAGTTCAGCAGGTCATCATAAATAATCATTGATTTGAAGGATTTATAAAATGTTTCGTTTAATAGTATGAGTTGTAACGTATAATGCTTACTCAGGCCCAACATTCCCCATTGGTAAGTACATTATATATATATATCATAGAAGACCTGTAGATGCTTATTTTTTTAATCTGTTACAGTGAACATTATGAACATCGTTAATTTATGCATTTTAGTTTAAATTAGTATAAGCGTTAGATATTGCTCTTACTTAAATGTATTATAGCATATCTTCAAGTTATTAGATGCAAAGTTATACACAATCTTTTCACAAACATGATCAGTAGTTGGATAGTTTCGTATTTTATCCTTGTGTATATTGGAAAATCGGCATGTCGTATGCATGTTCTATGTAAATTGCTACTAGGAATTTCCCTTATATAATCTGAAGTATTATTATATGGCTTATAGTCATTAGATGCGAAATTATTTCAACTATATTAGTGCGGGATTAAAGCTATATTTGTACATTATAGAATGATATGACAGATTTAAATTCGCATACGTCCTTAGTGTTCCTGTATGTCTGCTTTACCTTAGCAAGTCGTTTGTTATTGATTTTACTAGTTAAGAAAATATGTTGATCACGTGACTATCCTCTAACCACATTGCTTTTTAATAGCTTTCACCTATTTGCCAGCAGATTGTTTTTAATCAAAGGTTTTGATCTTAGCTTGTGTTTTACCAACATAATGTATGCATCCTTGCATACAGGGATGTAATACAATTTGGGGAAATGTTATATTTGAAACAGATATGTTAAAAAAATCCTGAAAATCAGATTTACCTTAAAAAGTTTGTGAGTTAAATGTTCTTACGAGTCTACAAAATTCAACGTGGGTTTGTCATACTCTTTTAACAATATAAATGAGGATAGGGCAATTGACAAACTTTTTATAATTACAACTACAATTCAAACATGGAATAATAAATACACAAACTGTTAATAATTAGATTAAAGAAATAGCTTCATCAATACTTAAGACAATACTTTTGTTGGTACCTTAATATGCTGAGAATCAAATAACGTTTATTTGAAGAAGAGATATTCCGTCTTTGCGTATTGCAGAGTTATCTTCTCCTGGAAGCAGGTATTGATTGTTACGTCACTTGTTTGTGAGAGTAACTTCATCAACTTTTGAGAAAACGACGTAATTTTCTCACACAAACCAATGACGTAACAATCAATCCCTGCTCCAAAGAGAAGATAACTCTGCAATACGCAAAAACGGAATAAGGCATCGATGATAGGCTACCATGATGTAAAAAAAAGAAAAGAAGAATGCATCAATAGAAAAGGGGAAAAGCAGTATATTAAAACCATGTAGATGAAGAGGAAATGAGGTTACGGTGACCCAGTTGTTCATCAGCATCGATTAATCGTTCACGTTTTCAAATAAAACTGCACCAATATAGCATATAAACAAAGTATATATTAAAAAAGTGATAATTATCACTTAAATAGTTATGATATATATTCATATATACTTCAACAGATTTTACCCAAATTTAATTTACAAGACGGTAATAGCGATACGTTTCAACATGGAATTAATGACGTGGCAACGCCTTTTGCTGGTCACGTCAAGAGGAATAACTCTGATTTAGATCAGTGTGACATCTACGAATTCATAAAATAAATGACAGATACATCCAATTGTGATAACAATGATTTAAATATTCTGAACTATTATTTTACCCCCCAAAAAAATATAATCCTCAGATCCCTTTCCTGGACCCCAACGTGAGTATAAGAGTATTGATATAGATTGGTGTACCCCTCCTAAAATCACAATGTTGTTATAAGGTAGAAAGTAGTGCATGGAGAATGTGTGGATAATATATGCTACCTTATCGTGAAAAAACCTACACTCAAAAAGAACTCCACAAACATATCACATACAGAAAATAAATTTAACTTTTACTGTTTTATCTTTGAAAAATGATTATGTGAATCATATTTTGCTAATAGTATATGGGAGTTAACTGACCTAAATCTTATGTATTATGTGTAAGGTGGCATATAAATTAGATTAGTTTTCAGTTGAATACTGTTGATGATAAATAGTATACTCTACACGTTTTATTATTTATATGTTAAATTCATTTAGAAAAAAATATTCATATCATGTTTATTTGATTTCAATAAATTCTATAACATTACAGATATTATGCAAATCCTATATTACATTAACAAGTACAAATTTCAAGTGCAGTGTAAAAACATACTTACTTAACAATGATAACGTTTTCAAGTAAATGCAATAATGATATATATATTAAATTACTGATAAAATACTATCTTTAAATGATCATGCGACTGTAAATCACGATGTGTATCATCATGTAAGTCACAATTACTCAAAATTACTTATATGCATGAATATCATAACCTGATATTATGTAAATACAGCTTAAGAATGAGGACGTCTGTTGTTTAATACGTCAAGGGGTATAACTCTAATTTGAACAAATATATATAAAACAAAATATAACTATTTGAAAAAACTACTAAAATAATTGAACAACTACTTTACCTACCGAAAATTGTAATCCCCAGATCCTTATCGTGGACAACGACGTGAGTATAAGTTCATGGAGCTAGATGTCCTAGCAACAAAATACTTTTGGTAAAAGTTGTTGAGAAAGAAGTGCATTTACAAATATTGGTTGTATATGCCACACTATAGTGAAATAAAACTATGCTTAAAAGAACTACGCTGATGAATAGAATTTACTTCACGCATACTATTGAGAAGTAATTGTGAATCCTATTATGCTAAAAGTCTAGGGGAGATAATACTGACTTAAATCATATGAATAATTTGTAAGGTAGCATATAATTCAAATTACTTTTCAGTTGAATATTGTTGTTAATTTTTGAAAAGTAATACATTTATCATTAACTTCCAGCCAATTTATATTTTTTTTAATACAAACTTATTTTATTTCAATAAATGATATAACATTATAGAAAGGTTGCCAATCCTATATAAAGTTATAAATACACATTTAAGGTGTAGTTTAGAAATAAAAAAAAAATACTTACCAATGATATTTGTTAAGTTATTTGATTAATGATTTATGTATTGAGTTACTGATAAATGCATTTTTTGAATAATAATGCAAATATAAACCAGAAGGAATATCATGATGTAGCGAAACGTACTCATACATTACGTGTGAACATATATCTTAAGAGAGGCGATATTGGCTGTTGAATACTGCAAGAGATATACCTCGAACCTTAACAAATATATGAAATCATTAGTAACTCTATGTAGAACTACTAACAATAAGTGGACAACTACATTACCTAGCCAAAACTGTAATGATCATATACATATCCTGGAATCCGACGTGAGTATATAAGTAGGAAGACATTAAGTGATTACTGATATTAACAAAAACACTGAATTTGTAGGCAATGTCGATAGATTGAGTGTTCTGGGATATTTGAAGGTTACATGCTACCTTTTGTACATACTATTTACATTGAGGAAACCTGTCAATTATTTGAATTCCGATTTTTAGATTGTTTTTGATAAAACTATAAATGAAATATGTATTTTTTGAATTTTGAATTACTGCATATCATATATCAAAATTCAATATGAAGGCAGGTAACTCTTTATATGTCACGGTTATTATGTGTAAGGTGGCATATAACCTTAAACTGACTTGTATTGGGATGATTTTGATGAGAAATGCTCGTATTTTCGACATAGTTTAAATGCATTTAATCTAAGGTATTGCCGTTTGTACATTGGATTTGTGTTTGTCTAACACAGACATGTGCAAATTGTACTTTTTTACCTATAATCTAAAACATAATTTTAAACTGCTTATTTTTTGCAGACCCGATCATTCCAGGTAAATATGACATATTATTTTTTTCCTCGTTAATGCAAATAAAGAAACTGATCTGAACTGATCATGGATTCTGTATAACAGTTGCTGCCTATCGATACTGAATTGATTGGGTTTTTTTCATTTGATATTTAATTATACAATAACATACATGTACACTATTTATATTTACGTCATATGTTTTCAGCAAGGGGACATTCGAATACCAAGGTTATAAGTAAGTACACATTTTGATACATTTATGCCACATATACCCTGTGCTATATTTTACTAAGGAAATAACATTTACGGGAGATTATAATTTAAAGCTCCATTTCCGAATACAAATAGGAATTAGGTGTATATTTAATATTAATATCACATTTTCTGCACTGTATTTCAATTATTATAATGATTAATGTGATAGAAAAATAATGCTGACGAGCAAATCAACCACAAATGTCTCCGAATAATGCACTCTGATAAAGATATAGGGCCGTCATCACATAAATTATCAATATGGTGTATACTTACCAAGTGCCATGGAGTAAACTCAAAACATTTTGTTTACAATATCATCATGGCTGATAATGGTACATCCAGAGTACATTGTCAAAGATTTACATTTATAGATGTCAAAATAAATCTATTTGAGATGTTGAACCAAAACAGTGATTTTTATTTAGACACAATTGCTATTCGTGTTGAACGTATGTCTGAAAAACACAGTATTTTAGTTACGAACCCTTTCTTCACTTCGGTCACACTTCGTATTATATTTGTGTTATTTTGACCAACTGATTTAATCAGTCGTTCCATTTGCTCTGCTTTCTCATGAATCAAAACGAATATATACACCTAACAAACGAAAAAAGTAGAAAATTATAATATGTTTTGTCTTATTTTTAAGCTGTACCGAAAGTTCATCGTGAACAAGTTGGTATACTCCACCAGGAAGCGGGTAAGTTATGTAAAACATTCCACATCGAACGGTTATTTGCGAAGTGTATAATTCACCGTTTTGCTATTTTACAGTCCAGTATAATAAAAATGATGATAATAATAATATACAATATTTACTATTGCGCCCTATCTAGCTAGAATAAGCCACTCTGAAGCGCTTTAGAGTACATAGATATATAATTTATACAATCAAAACAACTAGCATGTACATTAATCAATGCAATTTTGAGGAATTCGCAGGGGCTGCCTTATCAGGCGCTTACTACTGGTCCTATGCCACCTGGCTAATAGCTTATTATGTGATTGCGTGTGTGCTGGAGATGTAATGTGTAAAACAGTATTTGTCATTTTTAAGTGTTTGTATTGATTTGAAAAGCAATTATTATAACCAGTTAACTATGTGTAATGTATAATTAAAACATTGCTGTCTATCATGTAATTAAGGCGAAAAATGTGGTTATCTGTTAATGATGTAGATATGTATGTATTTTAACTTTGTGTTCACAAATAAGCAAATCAAAATACTTTTGCAGGGTTTTAAACAAGATAATCTGAAAATATATCAGTTTTATGGCTTATGTATATTATTTAAGAAAAACAGCTATCGTATAAAAAACAAAATTAATGGGAACGTTGTTCAAACGTGTTCAATGAAAGAACAAAATACAACAAAGAGAAAGTAAAAGCTATTGTTCAACACGTATACTAACTACATTCTTCTTTTGTAGTCCCTGTCCATCAGACACAGGTCGTGACCAATGAACGTAAGTTTAACGTATTTATTTTATACATCACAACCATTGAACACAGTGTTCATTTTTATTGAAGTGATATTGTTCATCCAATTTAGTCTTTATTTTCGTTAACCGGCGTTATACGTTTTTTTCATTATTCAAACAGGTTGGTACTTTATATGTAATTAACTGTTAAAGTAGATATTCTTGCGTATTAACTCACTGAACACTGAACATTTCCTGATATGCATTCACACAGATTGTTTTATAATGAGAATGCTATCATATACGTTTAAATAGGATGACGTATCAGCTACGTCAGCATGTTTTACATGGGTACATTGTCTCACAAGTTCTGCATTTGAACAACTTTTTAATTGGAAGATAATTTGTAATGTGTTGTTTGATTTTTTCAGGGGTGAAAATTGTAACACAAAAACAGCCTGTTCTCGTCCCACAAACCAGTAAGTAGAATTATGGTATTATTTATCTATTAATGTAGTTATTGCAAAACATTTCTATCTCTTTGTGGAGTAGTTTTGGAGAAAGGTAACATCGGAGTATCATAATATAACCTTTTTCTTTTTCTTTTACAGGGGTTCAAAAGATTCTCCAGCAGGTACCTGTGCAAACTGTTAGTAAGTAAACATTTGTCATTTCAATTGTAAGAAAACATATAGATAATGGCGGAAATGCATCGTTTGATCTAATGTATTGCATCACAGATGGTCGAGTCCTTAATGACGAAGAAATGGTATTATTTGTGTCGCAAGTACTAATAATGAACATTTTTTTAAATTTTTAATTACAGAAAAAGTTGCAGCGCCAATGATCTTCAAGCATAAAGGTAAACAATCCCTTGCAACGATATGTTTTATTGAATCATTTATATACAAGTATTAATATAATAATCGTTCGATTCTGCTATAAATATTCTGGTTGCATATACCGTCTTTGCGTATTGCAGAGTTATCTTTTCTTGAGAGCAGGTATTGATTGTAACGTCACTTGTTTGTGAGAGTAACGTCATCATCAATTCTTGAGAAAACGACGTAATTTTCTCACACAAACCAATGACGTAACAATCAATACATGCTCCCTAGGGAAGATAACTCGGCAATACGCAAAGACGGAATATGTACAATAAGATTATGATATCTTCGGTAAATGCTAATTCTTTGTTCATGTGATTTGACAATAACGTTTTTCATTATGTTAATTGAGGTGTCTTTTTAATTTGTTGTCACTTTCCCTTTTCCGTATTCGAAAACGTGATATTACTTGTATTTCATAACGGATGTCTCCTTGCTATTCATTTCATTGATTATATCTTGCCCTAGTCTCATCGAGTTTAAGGTCGAACAACGGTTTTTATTTCATTTCCTTGTGATAATTTTAGTCAAAAGGGGGATAAAAATCAATTTAAAATCTTGAAACGTAATTTTCATTTGATAGCATGCCAAATATGTCTACTATTTCAAAACGAATAATTTCACGTAAACGGCTTTCTCCCAAAGAAAGGTTTTCGGGGGTTCGCACTAGAGTGTATGATCCATTTTCGATGGGTGCGACATGTCGTGCAGGAAATAGCTAAATGGTTATCGTGTTGGATCACTTGATGTAGTATCTATACCTTTGTGGATATTCCGGATATCTTACCTTTTCTGTTCATGGGCAAATTTTTAAAGTTTGTCTTTTTATCGGTTATTCATTGTATTCTTCAGGTTGGCGTTGTTGTACTTGCTGTGTATTGTAGTTTATAGACCCCCAAACCCCCCATGTTTTTTGTTTTTTGTTTTTTTTTAATATTTACTGACCAAAATGTGTCACTGGCAATATAATGTTACGACACCTAATTTAGATATATATTCCACTCAGATGTCATTATTCTTTATGGACAATATAGTTGTATAATATGAACATTATGGCATGGCTGTCTCATAACTTCATAACTAAATGTTGTTGATTTTGTAAATATCATTGGTCCCGTTAAATTTATGAGCCGTTGTGTTTCCGCTACGTCATGTTTTGGTGTGCTGGCTATTAATTTCTTATATTTGTTGCTTCATTTTCTTTAATTACAAATTGCTTGCATGTTGTCTATTTTTTCATTCAGAAATTGTTCCCTTCATCAAGGAAAGAACAAATCACGGTGAGTAGCTTCATCCAAGTATATACATACATAACATTTCCCAATTTCTCAATAATATTTTTTTATCATTGATAATTTTCTCGTCCACAAATGATAATGTTGGCCTCATATCTAGATAACCTAGTTACCTAGAAAGTCTTCAATGATCTGGTCTCTCTTACGTAAAACCTCATTATATTATTTAAAGATATTGCTATCAATTAGCATTCACAATAACTACCATTTGTGTCATAATTAAACTATATATATAAGTAATATATTACTTGTATCTGCCAATTACAAACTTATTAATGTATTTTCCTTTGTGTTGTATTGCAGTTGTTCATAAAAGTAAGTAATTTAACACAAGAAATGATAAATCTAATGAAAAGGAATTCAAAATAATGCAAACGAAATGTAACCAGCGATACTTGAATATATAATGTTCCAATCAAAATAGTATGAAATTAATTTAAATGGTAGGGACCATTACTTTAGTCTACGGTAGACATTAAGAAACAGTACCGATAAAAATAATCGTATTTTGCAAAAAGCATAAATTACCTTCACGAATATGTTCCATGATACACAGCATATAATTATTCTTTGTTTGATTGAATGTAATGTCGTTAATTGTTAAATGGCATTGATTTGCATGGCCATGCATGTGTTGTTATTGTGTGACTGATTTTGTTTTCGTATTTATCTGCTCAAGTTGAAATTTGTTGAATTCATGTTTAATTCCTTGAAAAATATGAATCCCTGTACCAATGCAGGCAAATACAAGGGTACCCACCTCTGTTTCTTATACATGCTGTTATTGACCTTCATCTTGTTAAGGATATGACTTAAATGCCCTATAAAAACGGAAAATAATGTGTGAACAGCTCTGAGATGACCTACGAACTATTGTATGATAAAGCGGTATATAAGAACTCGAATTATTATTATAATCATTATTTGTTATCTTTTGTTCCCAGTTAAAGTGCCTAAGTACATAACAAACACTGTCGTGCGTAAAGGTAAGTTTTATCTATATAATTCTATATGCATGTACATAAACAAAATCATAGCTGATGACGAAATAAGACCTGTGGTGACGTAATGCCGGATCGCAAAGGGTGCGAGATATAGTGTTATAGTTGGCTATAGAGTCTGTCTTACAAGAGTAAATTCAAGTTTTACCGCGTGTCATTTGCAATTTAGAAATTAATAATCAAGAAATGATAAGCGTGAAAACCAACTGTCTCGAGTTTGGGTTGTTTTTCCTCAAATTACGTTTATGTTGTATTTAGAAAAAAGATGATTATCTTAATTATGATGTCGCAAAATATGACGTTGAAAGTAGTGTTACTTAACTTCATGATTAACAGATTGACCAATGAAATAACCATGTGCCAGTGGGGTCGGGTTCGACTTTCAGTTGTCATTATAATAGGTATAGGGGTGTCTTGGTCGTTTATCATTTCTCGTTGATACTAATTCCTAAATAATGGTTATAAATTTAAACTGAACGTTATTTTAAAGAATCTGATTCACAGACTGTAAAATATCAAGAGGTTTTTAAATTGATATGTTCATTGTCAAGTTGTATATGTTAGGATATTTTACCATTGTTATTTAAATTATTTGTTTCATCAAATTCCTTTGTTTTTATTTATTTTGCATTTTCATATATTTCAGTTCCCGAACCTGTTGCAATTCCAAAAATCCGTACGTATACATTGAGCTATTCAAATTGCTTATTGAACATATTTGTGAAAAATCGTTACATTTTAAGTCTTGCAGAATAGTGTCTTAACATTTTAACGTGGGTTTTCCAGGCCCTAAAATGTCTGATAGATATTTGTTGTTATGTCAATCTGCCATTACGCTATTTATTAAATGTGTACACAAAGTTAAAAATATTTAAAGTCATAAATGGGTTTTTTTGGAAAAGATCAAGAAGCTTTGTATGGAGAAATGTTATAACAGTGTTGTAAATGCTATGTTTTATATATTTCCGAAGCCAATATTATTATGGAACATCTTGGTTATGATTTTTCTTTTTATTCCAGAAACCAAGCACGGTGAGTAAAAAGGAACGATAATTTAAGAGGGGAAAAGTTTAAAATACGTCTTCGTTATACTTTGAAGGAAATTGGTTACAGTCCGAATTTTGACATTGTTTTTTTACCTTTAAGCAACATATATCATATTCATTTCTGGGTTCCTTATTTTGGCAGTTTAATATCTGACGATTTCTCAATACAGCATTTTGAAAATAATATCTTTGACAAATATTTCCATATTCAAAATAGTAAAACCTATTTTTGATCCGATATTCATTGTTAGTTTTTCATTTCGAGGTAATTGTAAGAAAATTTGACATGAAAAAATACACCTTTTGAAAACAACTGTAATGCGAAATTGACTTTAGTCTGGTACATATTTTAATTTGATTGAAGACGGTTCAAACAAGAAAGCAGTTTTAGATAGGGGCTGTCTTACTATAATTTGAAATGTTTCGCCCAGAAATGAATCATGGTTAAATCTATTTCGTCTGTGATTTTAGTATCACAATCGTAACTGAGTTAGTTGTACATTTAATCCTAACGTTCATAAAAAGGCCCATAAGGATATATTTCAATAACTGACTAAGTCAATGAGCACTGAACGAATACGTGTCTGTTTCAAACCCTGAAGTACGATATGAATAGAACAGCCAATTTGGTCCAGCGTGATGACGTTTAAGACTATTTTTCACTATCTCCTTTCTCAAGTTCATATCAATGCAATCTAGACAGTACTTCTAGAGTTACATATGTATTCAAGCTTTTGAAAACAGAGATAAGAAAAGCATCTGTTTATATATATATGGATGTATATCAAATATTATTTTGGAAATCATATTAAATATATTATATTTCATTGTGTCATAAACAGCATGTGCATCTACTCATTTCAGTCCATCATGTTCGGACAAAGGTTGTGCATAAACACGTTCCATCTCCATGTAAGTATGAAGTACTTGCATATTAATTGTGTTATTAATTTTAAAAATGTGTATGATAATTTATGTTGTTTATACTCAAGGGGACAAACAAATTGAGTCAATGTTCGAAAATAACGTTCAGGGTTAAGCAGATAAGTTTATAACTAGGATCATAACAGGTCATCACGAGCTGGATATTATCTTATATGACATAACAGTGAGACATTGCAATGAAATTGTCAAAAATGTAAATCATACAAGTAATCTACCAAAACGTAAGTGGTGGTGAATTTGTATTCTTTGTAACAATATAGAAATAACCACCATACACAGAAAAATTAACAAGACAAGTGGTTCGTGTTCACATTCTAAGACCATTCATAGATGAGTAAATCGGCATGACATTCACATCGTGAACATGAAAATACGGGTATCGTCGATATCACATCACGATAGAACATTTCGCTACAGTTTAACGTTAGTCATGTTTGCCCTCTTCAATGAGGAAGAATTTATCATAATAGAGAATATAAGTACACAATATGTAATATTTCGTTATTACACTTGAGGCGCCAAATCAACACTTGGCGAACATGAATGCTATCGGCAAATTGCGAAATTTACTGGGCGAAAGTTTTCTTGCATATAGTATTAATTCATAATGAATGTGTTTTGAGATCAGTTTAAAACGATATATAAATGAATAAATATTAATGGCTATTATATTGGTCCATCTGCGTATTGTTGTTTTGATATTTTACAAAAAAACGAATGTTGATTTCATTCTCATTTCTGTTTTGTTCACAGATCGTGTCGACAGTGAGTATATTATTACGCTGAAGACTTTTTTCAATAAATAATATTCGGGACGTCATTAACATTCTAGTGATACGTAAATTAACACATGATTTGTATGATTCGTCCAAGCTCAAATTTACGCAATTAAAAGTATTAATTAATAATTTCAGGAAAAAAACTTATTTATAAAGAATAAATTGAATCAATGTCAGTTCATGTATTTAATTAAAAATGGAACTTTGATGAACTTATTAATATTATCAAATCTATCACGTGATGCAAAAAAAGGTGTCATTTTTTTTTGTATAACCATACATAGGTTATTACATTGCTATACTCGATCAAATGTACATATCAAATCATATTTCTACTTTTAATAATACATAATGTTCATGTTGCGTTTGTTACAGATTATGTCAAAGGTAAGTACTACTACACGAATCATTCTCGCAGAACGGCATCAACCATGTCTAAAAATTAACTAAGTCAATTGTTTTAAGAACAATCATCTTTTGATGTGATAAATTTGAACGATTTTGTAAATGTGCTGATTTTAATGCACCCTCAATATATGCTGTTGGTGATAATCACAATGGTAATGCTCTATACTAAAAGCGCGGTAAGCGCTGAAATAAACCTACGGTTAACATTTGTTCAATTTCAGGATAAAAAAGGTTAATTTAAAAAGTCAAAGTCAATAATTTTATACTTTATCAATTTTCCTTTCAAATCACGAAATCAGGATTTTCTTTAAATATATTTGTATGCAAATATCTTTCGTGTGACCTATGCCTGCTAATAATTAATTTTGTTTTTGTTTATTCTTCTACAGTACCAAAGCACAGTAAGTAGAGTTATCTATCTTTTATGTATATGATATATGAAAAAAAGAGAGTGAAGAGAAAAGACCTATGGAAGCTCTGAAGACCAGAACTACATTACATTAAGCGGAACATTTAAGATTTGCTAACCTGAATCTGTTCTTAAAGGACCAGCGCATTCTTAATCACGTACCTGCACATGTAAATGTAATCATTTCATAGGGAAAAATCGATTGAAAGAAGTATTTTTTTCCCTGAATTAACCTTATGTACTCCGTAGTGAAATTCTGTGAAACAATGCCGGGTAATACATTGTTGTACACTGTGACGTTTCTTTGTGCAAGTAAGACTATATAAGACTGCATAATACTATTTACTTGTTAAACATAAATAGTTTACAGCTACAATTTGAGTGAAACATTTTAACTGTGAACCATTTAAGATCAATTTTGTAATCATGAATTGGATATTTCGAACGAAACGCTTTGATTCGATGAAGCGTCTCCTTTTATTAAGTTTATAAGCTTCTTACGTATCAGCACATCCGGAAGGTTCCGGTAAATGGAACACGTTATAAAGTTGTCATTTTAATTAAATAATGTTATTTATTTTTCTGTTTGACGTCAAAATATATAATACTACAAGAAGTAACATTGCATTGTATCTTAAACTTTACATTTCGTAGAATCAAATTACATTTTTGATATAGTTTCCCAGTATATGTCAATTTCATATTTAATTAATGTCGTTTTATATTGAAAAATAATAGTATAACTTTGCTTGGTATGATTATATACAAATGTCATATTATAACTTATATTCGTTTCTGTTTCTCCCTTTGTAGTTATTAGAAATTGTAAGTATACTTTTGATCATCCACGAGACATACTATTTTAAAGCGTGTGCAGTTATTTCATTACTAGCATTACCATACGAAAACAAACTTTAAACAAACAAGTAATATAACAATAGTGAGTTGTAGATTTATACAATGCACGGATGTGATGTAGAAAGCATTATCATTATCGCACACGTTATCCTAATGCATAAATGTTTTAGAGAGAGAACTTTAGTTTCAATACATAAAACTTAATTAATTACTCTCAAATATGTTAACAACTAAGAAAAACACACACTTTGTAATCATTGCAATTCTTCAAAAATATCACAATGATTGTTTATTTAAATGATGATGTCCCCATATTCTTATATCTCTTCTTTATTTTATGAACAGCTCCTTCCCCGGGTAAGTCAACAAAACTGATCATTTTCATATTACTCCATAATTTAACTTTACATGACGGAAATTTGTACATCGATATTTGAAATCAAACAATTATTTTCTATTAATATGCCGAACACCTTAGGGCAATGTTATATCCCAATTCCATCGCATAGTGAACATTACTTCAACATCATTGTCGCATTTCATGCAATATATAAGCCTTTGTATATAATAGTAATATTGAACTACAATATACTGTAATTGTTTACACTAATATACATATATACGCGATGTATTAACTGATATTACGATATGAAGATTTTATATCACAATTTGTCAGCATTAATTTGAATTTTTCATACCTGGTTATCAGTATAAAATGACTGATGACAGGTCTACAAACAACAATGCATATTATATGTTCATATTGAAATATTTTATTGATTTCTTTATTTTTCCTCCAACAGTTCCAGTGAAGGGTGAGTGTGTTCTTTCAAATATACGTGATGCATGCTATATTAAACAACTACGTAATACATAATCTAATAATAATGTTATTAATAATTTATTGTTAAGATAATACAAATGACGACACTTGTTGAGTATCTTTAAAACTTGTACATGAGAAAGATACGATTTTTCTACTACAATAAGATAATATAATTTATTAAAATATGATTTTTGTATGAACTAACATCTCATAGACACGTCGTTCAAGTCGCATCAACTTGAAATGCAGTCAATTTGTATGTAGTTGATGGTTCCTAGTCCTTGAAGTTAGCGTGTTAACAATTGTCAATGCATCTGTTATATCATTGAAGTATAATGGTGAGGTTGGGGAGAATTTCCCATTGATTTTAAAACAACTATAATAAAAAAAATCGTTATCTTATCTTTACAGTTGCCGATCCTAAGTACATCGACCGTGTGCGTAAGTAATTATGTTTTATAAGTTGATTCCTGTAAACACAATCATATTTTTTCACTTATCTTGTGAATAGAAATATCTTTGTTTAAAACAATATATAGAGAGAGAATAATTCATGTCTTTTTCCATATCACACCCAGTATCAACCCGATACTGCAATATCAGCCCGAGGGCCCGAGGGCCCGAGGGCTGATATTGCATGGTCGAGGGATGATACTGGGTGTGATATGGAAAAAGGCATGGTTTATTCTGTTTATTACATACTTTTCACCTTCTTAAAGTCCTTATTTCTGAGAAAAAAACATCATTAAATTAGTCTTTACATGAATCAGAAAGAGAAGTATTTTTGTTGTGTAATTTTAGACAATTGACTTTTTTTTAAAACACAAATAAATATATTGTCTTATTACATACTTACTAATAAAAGTTACTACCTTATGATCTATTTTTCTTTTGAACTATTGAAAAACGATTTTTTTTCCAAGAAAGGGTGTGATACGGGTTTTTGCGGGCTGATACGAGTTTTGGGGTGTGATACGGCGGGGGCTGATACGGGTTTTGGGGTGTGATACTGCGAGGGCTGATATGGGTTAGAGCAATTGTGTCGTATCGCATATACAAAAAAAAACGTATTTATTATTAAGTATGTAATAAATATCTATAAATGGTGTAGATATTTCTAAGCGTGTCCATATCTTTGCTAGTTAACGTTTTTAAGCTGGTGTCTTAAACACAAAATAAGCGAAACTGTATTTCACTTCAAGACATTACATTAATCCAATCAACTAAAATTACTGAAATATTTGAAGATTAACATGTGTAGATTGCTTAAGGAAACGGGTTGTACGAAGTAAGGCCATACATGAATCTATTTTGTTCAAGCTTAAATAATACAGAACTTTAATATTTTACTTGGAGGTCCGCTCTCGTAATATATACGTTTAAACTTCGTATCATTTCAAATAGTAAATACATCCTATTTTCACCTGTTTTTTGTTTATTATTTTGCAGATGTAAAGACACAGATTGTTCCAAAACACAGTAGGTTTATAAGAATGTTACCTATTTACTTATTTTTTTTCATATATTGATAAGATACAGCAAGCTTGTGTCATTTGTTTTGAGATGGTCACACATCTAACTACAGATTCACTAAAATAAAATAAAAAAAGTTGTGAGAAACGTTTTATAAATCTCATGTAAAAAGGATTCCGAGGTTATGTCGTTTATCTTATTTTTGTTTGTACATGTAATTACTTTGCAAGTTAGCGCTTCGATAATTCAATAATTCTAAGTTTTTTTAACGTTCAAAATATACATTACTGATATTTTAACAGTGTACACATTTTTCTAATATCATTTTTTTTCTTTCTTTCAGTCGTCCACACTGGTAAAAGCAGTTATTCCTTTTAATCTTACACATCTATAATAAAAATAAAAATAAAATAAAGATATTATTCGATGCAACTCTACTTCCATTTTGACTTGGTGCGCATGCTTGTTTAATTCTAAACGTGGAAAATGATAAATCCAAACATCTATTTTTGTCGAAATATCTGAATAAGGACTTATGTTTGTTGTCTATATAGCTGTAAAAGCAATAAAATATGATTTTGTTTTAGTGTTTTATCTAACTACATATTATTTTTAATTTTGTTTTATTTCAGTCGCTAAGCCAATTACCAGTAAGTATTGTTTACGTCGTTTTAATTTCTTACACATTTGAGATGTATAATATATATATATAAGCCCTAGAAGGCAGAAAGGCCTAGCGGACGATCTGAAAAATTTGTTTTTATTCTATATTTTCCTTCGCAAGGACTTATTTATTTATCTATTATCTAATATATATATATATATATATATATATATATATATATACATGATTCTTATTAACAAATTTCTATTTCAAGTTGACCAATTCAAGCTATGTTAAAATGGTTTATTTATTACTGAGAGCCATATTTAAACTATTTACGATAGACGTATAATAAATCATTGGTGTGTGCAATATATATAACATACTTAATCTAATTACGTTTTTGGTTTATTTTTTATTTTACAGAGATCAAAACAGGTAAGAATATATTTTAAAATTTATCATTGTCCCAAACAGTCTTTTGTTCGCTCAATCCTGCAACATATTTGAAAAGTAATTGTTAAAGTAACTCGGATTGTAATGTTTTATAGTATAAATAGTGTCGTCACTGTTCAAATAAAAGCACGTTTATATACTTCTATTCTGGAATATCTATAATACTATAATACATTTTTTTCCTTATATTATTATGTTTTCACTTTAAAAACTGTTCTGTTTGACTTTTTTTCAGAATATAAAACCATTCACAGTAAGTATTTTTGAATCAGTCTTCAATATGGTAAACTTTAAAATCAAATAGAGGTAAATAAGCGACTATTTACTCATACGGTCTGTCATCGTTAAATGAACTATTCGATTCGATATGTGTGTTCTGTATGCACTATACCACCCGAAAGTTTTATCTTCAACGTTATTTCCTGATAACTAAGTACAATATGCACGTTAGAAAAACGACATTATAAAAACTGAGGAATTTGATATATGTCTATGATTGTTTATGTTTTCCATTTCTTAATTAGAGTACATGTATGTACATTATTTTTAACGAGGATTGATTTTGTGATTTTCTTTCTTCAAGAAACCGTCCCTATCCCATCACCCATGCCTAAACACTGTGAGTATATAATCACATATCTATTATTATGCTAGATCAGTTTTACATATTTCGCCAGGTGTATCAATGACGCCATTAAGTGACAAAGAAAATCTGTACCTTTAAATGTGTATGTTAAATTGCTAACATTCATGTAGTCCTAATTTCACAAACACGTGTTTGATTTCATTGGCGATACAATCAGGTTGTAACGTACGCAACGTGATTACCTATGTTTTATATGAATACTTAATTATAACTGTATCACTATTAATCATAATACAAAGCTTTTTGAACAAAACTAATACGATCACGCAAAAGTAACTTAACCAATGGTATTGAGCAGAAATTAACTAGAACGTTTACTGTTGATAAATATAGACTTTATCTATTTTACAACAATTATAAAACAAGTAAGTTCAACTTGAATATTAATCACTGTTAAGTTTATAAACATGTGTGTTAGAGGCGATTTACAAAATCCTTCTTTTATCATTGAATATGTTTAATCATTTCAGTTCACCACGTGAAACACGGTAAGTATGGAGAAGAGGATGGTAATGTGAACGATTAATTCATCAGAATATCATTATACTATAATGTAGTTTTTGACCACATTAATTCAAATAATCAGTAACAATGCTAGTATTTAGTTGATGTTAATAGATTATCTAAATTATACAGCTCGCACAAGCAGATGAATGAAAAGCAAAAACAATTGGTTATATGCTATTTTTGTACTTTTTATACAGAAAAATAGTATCATTTGAACAATTATATTGCTTTTTTTTATATGAAGAAGATTATCGTAATATTTACATTGATATGGAATATAGAGATAGAGAGTAGTGCGGCTAAGGAATTTGGGAATTCAATCTACTGCAAAAGAGTGAAAAAATAACGACCACAAAAGCAACATGCTATATAGGCATACATATTGAGACATTTATCCCGTTTTCACATACTTAATTTACCCCAAAATACAGTTTTGTCATTTTAAATGTACGTTTCCGGTGTTTTTTTTAAATATCACTGTTATCATTTTCAAAACTAGTGGTGTTTTATTAGAAATTATCGTCTCTTAGACAAAGAAAACTATAGAAATGCCGCAACACACCTCAAGCAATGACATTGTAATACAATAGTGATAATGATATAAATACATTGATTTTTAGAAAATGCATCCAGTCATTTAATTTACGAAAATTCAGTCGCAGCGCCGACGTGAACCTTTTCATGCATTGTTCAATGCATGCTTGCCAATATACCGTTGATGCTTTGCTGTCAAAACGAATTCAGTTCATAACTTTTACTTTACAGTTTCTAGTCTCTATGATTATTTTGATATGGGATGCAATTTCATATCAAATATATAATCAAAGTGTACTGTATAACCCGAATTGTTCCTTTGGCACTTTCCTTTGTTATTTGAAGCTATGCAAATGTTTCGTGGTGCAAACTTTCCTGGATATCCTATATTAACAAACAGTAGCCACGCGTATCATTCAGATTTGTTGTATTTATTTTCGTGGTTCAATAGCAACCACGAAAACCACGAATGTTTATACACAACGAACCTTACTGACATCTATTGGAGATGATACACGGTTTTATCAACCCTAGAAAGTTAAAGGTTATGAACCAATCTTTTAATATATATATATATCGCATATGTAATCTGTTTAGAAGTATTTGGATTTGTTTTCAAATTTTAATATTTGTGCCTTTTTCCCTTAACAGTCGACAGACCTATTCATCATACAAGAACAGGTAAGACAATTCGTTTTAACAAAAGAGACAAATTATATCTTTGCATTCAATACAGGTCTTCGTTTCAATACATTTCTCATAAACACTATGAAACGTAACAAGCATCCTGTGAACAAATGTAGTTTACTTTAAATCGTTAAAGCAGGCATGATTTGTTTTAAATTGCGTCGAATAACATACACCTTTATCATAATACTATAAATAGGTGTTTAATCGTAATATGTATTTGATTTACTGACAGTGATGCTAACTGACTCAAATTTCCCTCATTTCAGTGATCAAGAAAGTGGATGGTAAGTATTTTAGAAACTTTCATGGTGCACACATTACTACTGAAAGCGTTTGCTTTTAATTAAATGATATCCAATAAAAAAAACAATTCGAAATATTTCTATTAATAACTATATTTTATCTATATATAGATATCGGTTCTTCTGGAAACAAACCTTGAAATTAAATAGCACTTATTTCGAACCTTTAAAAATATAACTAGTTTCATTGTTGATTTGAGAATTTATACTTAATATCTGATTTTTAATTCATGGAATAATTAAAAAGAAAGTTAAAAACAAATTGACTTTACTCCAAACCTTCAATAAACGTATGCAGTAAAACAAGTTAATATGTTTTGTATTGACATGTTATTTGTTGAAAAACATTTAAATAAGTATATACTTTTATTCTATATGAAATAATGATGTACTTCATATATATCACAAATCATAATCATACTTTAGAGATTTGTCTTTTCACAGGTACACAGCCGAATACAATTATGTTTAAGGCTTTTAGTTTAAACGATGATTTGACAATAGAAAAAAAAAATCAAGACGTTAAGACGAAATATTATGCGATCTATGTTTAACCTAATATATATATATGATGCAAATATTTATTAATGTTATCCTTGCTTCATTTCAGTACCCAAGATCGGTAAGTAAAACCTTGTTTAGTGATGTAAAAATCTATTTGAGACTATATACATAACAAAATTGAATTGCTTAAATTATATAGCAGGAAAACCGGTGCATGAAAAAACATGATACTAACCGAAAAATGGCATAAGGCGACGTGATATGAAGTGAAATGTATGCATCAACCTAAGCATACATTCCGTTTGTATGACAATTGTGTCGACGAATTTAATTATAAAATGATTTGTTTATGTATGTCAATATAAAATATTGAAATTTAAAATAGATAACGTTATAACAAGAATAGTTTCCTTAAATTGTTTCTTTTAATCTAACTAATAACTATTTGCTGTAACTGTATTAACGCTGTGTGATATGTTGTCTGTACAAAGAAAATATCAAGTCATTTACACCATGATTACATGTTGAATTATAATACTTCCTTTTAACATAAAATCTCATTTCTGTTTTGCAGTTGAGAAGACACGTAAGTTTTGCCAGTGTAAAATCAAAGATGCAATAAACTTCATTAAATGTCACATTTATATGAAAAGGTGCAATTGTTAAAGCATGGAATATTTTTGGACGATTACATTTCATAGAGATAAATATCTCAATATTTTTTTCTTGTCAAAGCTTGTTTATTTTATTCATTATGCTTTAGATATTTATTTACATATTCAAACGACAAAAAAAAATGTATTCTGATACTGCTAAATGCAATATGTATTTATCATAAGTTTGATCAATGTTTCTTTTTCTTAACAGGCTACCATGCAGTTGGAGGTGAGAAATGCATAAAAGTTAAATTATCTTACTGTATCATATACAAAGAGTATATCATCCATTAATTCAATTATACCAGAGGGTTGATTAGGTCTATACATTTAATGCATTTTAATATTAATGAACCGATTCAGAAATTAACGAGATATGTCAGCGTATCGCATTATGTGTTATATCTGGGTAAGGAGAGGTCTACGGGCTCATAGACCCCGTCTGGTCTTTATCGACCCCGGGCCAAAGACGATGGGTCTATACATACCAAAGGGGTCTTTAAACCTGAAGACCACGCCAAACCCAGAAATAACGAATCTGTCACCCTGATAATCTATGATCACTTTTTTCTGCTAAGGCACTTTATGAGTTTAAGTTGTACTCGATTGCTACCAGAATAGCCCATCTTTGAAATTAACACCCTACGGCCCCCTAATCTCCTGTTTTGTTGAAATTTCTGTCGTTTTATATTGCTTGTAGGCTATTACATCATGCGAATGATTGGCAAACTTCGAACGCTTGAGTGTTTCACGGACGCTATCTTTGTTGTTATGCAGAAATGTTTTAGTTTGAGTTATCTCCACTGGCACATGCTATTATAGACCCCGACAGAACAGGGTCTATAGCAATATAGATCCCGGCAAAATATCCAATCAGAAAGGGTGTTACAAATGAGAAGGGTGACAAAGTATATTGTGTCCATTGCATTTGTCAAAGATAACTAGTGAAAAGGAAGCTTGATCCTGTTAACCTGGCTAACTGATGGGGCTTAGGGGCTCACCAAAAATGGTTTACATGATTACCAGAAGAATGAAAGGGCCAACTTATTTGGTCTTAAGTAATAAGTCAACCAATAATATAAGTTAATTGAGTGCATAGGTGTTCAACATAAAAAAATAACCAATATATATTGGAAATGTGTGTACAATTGCCTGTAAAACATAATTGCATATTTACAATAAGGAATACAGCTTTGAACACACACTTCGTTACGTTTAGTTTATTAAAGAAATTAATATAAGCGCAGTGTAGAGTTACCGGTTGCGTCTGTGTGTGTTTGTGTGTTTGTGTGTTTGTTTATTTGTTTACGGATCCTATTGATCAGGCCGTTGTAGAGTGACGGTTCACTTAAGTAGGTCACAGTGTCCTTTACTACATCTACTACGATTTTGCAGCAAAATAAATACAGCGTTTCTGAAAACCCTATGAACCAAGTAATTATAAAAGAGTGTAAATGGGGATAGTACGCAGTTTTTTCATGTCTTTAATGGCGATTGGAACATAAAAAATTAAACTCTCGACATATCGGTCTCGAGTTCAAACCAGATATCATGTTATAATCGTCAACACTAGTCATTTAAACGACGTAATGTGTTTATCATAAACTGCTTAACATTGTTTTTATTATCTTTCAGTACCTGTAGTCAAGACTAATACCGTGGTAAAAACTAGTAAGTAAAATATTACTTGTGTCATAATATTTTGTTTTTTAATAATAATATTTTTTGTGTCATAATATTTTTTTATCAATGTTTAATCTTCATTTAAATTAATTTGTTCTTTCCGTTTCATCAAATTAATTTTGTTATCGACTAAATTTACACACTGTCACCGTAGAAACGGATATATAATAACACTTTCATAGCGTTAATACTGTATGCCTGTTTATTATGTGAACATATTATAAGACAGTGACATTTTTTTTATTCTTAACTTAATAGATGTCGTGGATCGGCCGAGTAAGTAAACTTGATTTTATCCAATGTACTTATTAACGCTCAGTTTCAATACTTAACGACATTCTGGTTGAAAATTCGATATATTGATAATCGAGAGCTGTGCATGACATCAGTTTGTGGCAACAACGTTGGTATAACTTTCGTCATTAAGAAATATAACTAAAAAAAAACAACTAATCGAAAATATGTTGTCGGTAATGTTAAAAATGTGCCTTTGTTTATGTATAAATCCTGTTATATTGCGGGGTCCGTCGCTTATTATAATTTATAATATGCAGATATGTTTTGAATGATAGTTGTTATTGGAGTAGGTAGATATATATTCTCCAAAGGATCATTATTATTTTTTAGGAAGTTGATAATTCAAAATAATCATATGCAAACAAAAGTCTGTTTTTATAAAAATATAATGATAGTTTAGGGGAAATAGGAGATACGAGTTCGAGCTTTGACAATTGGCTAAATTAAGACCTGTCAGTATACCTGTATGTATTTGTTTTAATATCATGCTGTTTTTCTAATCCACAGTCCCAAAAATCTGTAAGTACTAAATCAACATCAGCCTTTTTAATACAAATACCATAATATGTGATATCCTTAATATTATATATTTATATATATATATGGGTCTATGAGAACGTTCATGTTGTATTGGGTGCTCTTAAGATTTCTGTCGTCGATATTGACTTAAAATTAGTTTTTATACATGTAAACCGGGTAATTTTTTGTTAATTTTTTTTTAATGTTTTTAATATCTTTCTTTATACTATACATACTATGCGTTTGCCATAATTAAGTTCATACATTGTATCTTAATACAAGTTTTATTATTTTGCTTCTTCATTTTCTACATGATTCGTACAAAAGTACTGTTATTCTTGTTAAGTAAATTCTTACTTCCTTTTGTTCAATTTCCATATATAGCACATTTTAAAACATGTTCAAATTATATATTTCTATTATAATTGCATGTTTTATATGAATTAATATTGGTTTTTGAATGAAACACTAATTAGTTTAAAGGTAAAGTGTATCAAATTAAATCGGGAGAAGAACTCCACGCAGAAATTTGAGTGGGAGTTTTCTTCAGTCTATATAGTATTAGTAAAGGATGTGCATCTGGCTAAGAGTAACTTCCCATATCAAGTTCCTCTTAAACTGTGTGACCTTTGAATGAGATCTTCATTTTGACGCCTTTCCTTAATAATTCATGGATCGTAAAATGTTTGAAGTGAAACATTTGCAATGTATGAGTCTTGAGTTGGACGCCTTCAGTGTTTGTGTGTTTTTAAATAAGTTACAATCATTAATTGTTTTATCAATCATCACTCTGTAAAATGGTTCCCAGCATGTGATTTGTATGGAATACTTTCTGTGTAAAAGAGCTGTAACATATATTTTACAATAGTGGCAAAGGTATCCTTAACACTCACTTTGCCTGCATTTAATTTTCAACCATCGCATAAGCTTACATGATTAGCTGTTTAAATATGCATTTTTGTTACGTTTTAGTTAAGAATGATCACCATACTCAAGCGTATATTGAGATAACCAACGACTGTAACACTATGACATTATAACTTTCACATACGTTTATTATAATGTAAATATGATATAACTTAGACACATTGAGTAGACAGCGTTATAATGATAAGGTAAAATGGGCATGGCATACCAATTGAATAGCATAACTACAATGAGAATGTATCTTTCGTAGAATATACTATCATATTGAACTTTGATGAAACCTAACAAAAACTGTATTGTTTTTGCACAAATATTTTAACTGGTTTCATTTATTCATTTCAGTCAATCGAATTCACACTGGTAAGTAATTATGTCGATATTTTTATTATTGTACATCTTTTAATTTTGTCTTTTTATCTAAAAGTGATACCTTCCTGTTGAGTAAATATCGAGATACATTGGTTATATCTATATCACAGGAATAAAATTGACTTACATGCAGTATAACTTGCACACAAAATATATATTTTTTTATTTAAATATATGATTGTAAATGATTTATAATCCTCCTTAATGAAACATGACATACAATATAAAAAAGGAAGAGACACGTGAGCATTATGTCAATTTAGGCTGTTTGTATTTATGCAATTACTTTACTTGTTTATGGAAATCTGTCCCGTGTTTACAGACATTACAATTTAAATCTTAGAAATTCTTTCAAAATAATTCACTATTTATCAGGTTGAAGTTTTAAGGTTCTATACCCTCTGTATGTTATCATTGGTAATATTTGTTCTTGATCTGTAAATGCATTTGAGTTATTTCTCATTCAGATATCTGTTTTTAATTGTTGAAATTGATTTATATGTAACTGTCATTCATATTAATAATTAAGTATAATCAATGTTCTCGTTTTCTTTGAAATCTCCATGAGGTTTTTAATTCCGTTGCGTGTGTTAAAACTTTTTACTCACGACTTATGGTAGGTCCACGTAGTGATTACAAAATAAAACTATTATCCGTTTGAGTGGGTACTCGTAATCCACGAAAGTATATACCCGCGAATATACCTTTTAGGGAAACCACGAAAGTTGGTTCTCACAAAAATATCTGACGTCACCGAATGTACAATGCTGTTTGTTTATTAGCGAAATAAGAGAACCCGAATATATTATAAATACGCGATGTAGTATTCTCGTGAGATGTGCAATGATTGCACGTGTTCCAATTGAACCTATTAATTGGGATTGGTAAGAAACTTTAAAGTGAGCAGTCTCTTAACAATGATATAAAAATACAGTTGCTTAAAACTGGGATAAACCTCACGACCCAACTCACGTGGATTTGTAAATTGACTTTGATTCTTTTATTCAATTGTAAGCCTCTTACTGTTATGCATTTGTTAACTTTTATATCTAATTGTATTTTTTTTTTAAATTTCAGTTAGAGAAAAAATTCCAGGTAAGCATACTTTTTTTTCGCTTTTAGTCGTATTAAATGAATCATTTCATACTTATCCATTCGCCCTATATTAATGGATATATCTTTAACATTCCATTCGTTTTCATTAGTCCATATACTCACTTTTAATGTGACATGATGATGTAAATGTTCAAAAAGGACTGAATTATTTGGATAAGATCAAGGTCAAGGTAACTGTTATTCAATATAGTTCAAGATGTTACGATTCTTGTCTCCTAATTCAAGAGATACTTACGTTTTTGAAGTATGAAATTGAGTTAAACGGTGGCAAAAGAGTTGTTTTTCTAAGGTCAAAGTCAAGGTTACTGTTACTAAAATTGGGCCATTTGGGTACAGTCAGACTTAATATGGAGTCGCAGAGACCTGATAGTAACATTTTCATTCCCTAAATACATTATCAGACTTAGCTCTCATGAGAATCTGGAAAAAAAAGATAAAAGTAAAAGAAAGCATGACATAATTTGCATAGTTTATACATACTATATAGTGCATTGTATATCCAATTGATATTGAACAAACGGTGACATTTAAGTCAAATAGAATACCAAATTTACCAAATACCCAAGTGATAAAAAAAAATATCACTTCGTCGTCTTGAAATTCAAAATTGGCAGATAGAAAAAGCAGAAACGTTCTAAAAAGCAACGGTAAATACATCGTACTTTCTATTAAATAAACCATTTTTTTTTTTCATTAATTGTGTTTATTTATGTATGTATTTATGTATTTATTTATTTTTCAGTTCCATACAAGCAAACCGTGGTTCAACAACGACCATGTAAGTTGATAAGCTCTATTGATGTGTGTGTATGCAAAATTGCTTTAAAACAAACCGGACATGGAAAAATATCAAGTTACAACCTACTTGTATCGAAATAACAATTTCTATTATATAGGCAACATATTTCTGAGATAATATATCAGTAAGAAGTATATTTTTATTTTATTTTGGAAAGTGAATGAAAACGCTTAATTTGGTTGAAATGGTTAATTGATAAGGTTATACACTAATTTAATATCAATAATGTCATGATTCAGTTTACCTCATCTTAACAGTGTTATAATTCGATATTATTTATTATTTTACAGTTCCAGGTAAAGATGCACTCCTTCCTTGCACAGAATCACGTCAATATTTTGCCTCATGGTATATGTATCATATCAATGTGGAAAGTAATAAGGATCACTAATAAATAGTACACGAACAAAATAATGTTATTCAGATTATATAATAGTTTTCATATATGCAGCATGTTATTGAATTTTATAGCAGCATTTTCCAAGTCCTTACCTTAGCTGCCGTGTTGTTTCTGTTATAATTAAAGATGAGTTTTACTTGCTGGTGGTATTTTATAAGTATAACACAAAATCAATCACATTTTCATTTAAAATACTATTTCAGAAATTATCCCATAGATATTTGTATATGTTAATGTTGAATTTTCTAAATGTAGTTTCATATGTAATCCTTTGAAACGTTTTCCCCATATAATATCTTTGTATGTCGATGCATTGTATACTATTGTTTTTAATTATTTTTCTGATTTGTGTATTTATTTATGTTTCAGTTGTGCAAACAAGTAAGTATTTTCTAAATAACACAGGGCATAGTTACTATTGAAAGATCATGTGATACAAAGAGTACACAACGACAAATAGTTCTGCATATTTGAATAGGGAAAATGAAAAATATTGCTAAAGTACAATAGTGTAATATGCAATATTTTATATTCATTGGAAGATATCATTAACACCAAGTTACTGTTAAATACATAGATGCTACACAACGAGTACCGGGTTGATATCGTATTTATCTCACTCGAGTTAGATAATTTTCGAAAGTCACAAAAGATACGAGCTTTACTATTATCATTTATTAATGTCATTATTGTATTACTACTTAAGCGGTGCATTCACTTTATGATCTTATTAAATGAAAAAACAATAAGAGCCACTGAACTTCATTTGAGTGTATGTGTATGGCATGGTATACCAGCCCCACATTTATACCAACACCGTCCAGCCATTACTTCATTGAACATAAACTCATTTACATAATATTAAGTATAGTAGTTAAACCTCAGTACAGTGTCACTTGTTCTCTCGTGTATTGCCATCATATTACAGGTGCTCTTTTTCTTGAGGATCCATTCCTTTGTTTTCTTCTTAATGATTGTCAAACCCTTTTATAATGCCAAATTAAATATGGTGACGGTATAACGAGGTTTTCGTGGATCAGTTTTCTGTTTTATATTTATAACCGTTTGTATTTCTTATTTTTTTACAGAGGTGGTAGAAAGTAAGTATAGATCAATGCCGACAGTACTATATTAAAAATAGCGTTGCATGAAATATAACAAACAAATTAAGTAACTTATCAAGTAGATGTTATGTTTTTATCGGATAATTTTGCAACGAAAATTGTAAACACGAAAATCAGATGAATCGTTTGTTCCTCACCTAACATATCAAATATTCATTTAAGATACTCATTAGACATTGATGAGAAACATTGGTTACCTAACAGGCCTATATTTGCCTTTTTGAAATGATTAAATACACTATATTATATAACACAATCATTTATCTGTGTAAAATATTTTGGTTTTATGATAATCATTAGATATTAATGAGAAACATTGGTTACCTAACAGGCCTATATTTGTCTTTTTGAAATGAATAAATACACTATATTATATTACACAATCATTTATCTGTGTAAATCTAAAAAGCATGTTTGAAATATGCAAAAAATTATGTATCCAAATCAGGATTTACAAATCATAAGTCTAAGCATGTACGTGAGGAATTGGAAATCCTTTATATGAAAATATTTGTTTTGCACAAGTTGTACAATGGTATCTCATAATCATATTTTCACATTTCTACTTTTCAGAACATATTAACCATGTACAGAAGGGTGAGTGTTAAGCCCATTAAAGTTTATTTATTATTTGTAACAAAGATGTTGGGATCAATAAATAAAGTTATAGATGATGTTTGAATTTATAAATATAAAACTTTCTTTAAAAAAGAAAAGTTAAAAATAGTCGTTTGGTGTTTAAAATCTGCCATCAATTACAACATAAATATTAACATAACAAAATTGATTGTCTTTTGATAATAATTCCGTCTTTGCGTATTGCAGAGTTATCTTCTCTTGGGAACAGGTATTGATTGTTACGTCATTGGTTTGTGCGAGAAAATTACGTCGTTTTCTCAAAAATTGATGACGTTACTCTCGCAAACAAGTTACGTATCAATCAATACCTGCTCCCAAGAGAAGATAACTCTGCAATAAGCAAAGACGGAATATCTCTAGGAGCGACACGATGTTAACATTTATAAAAATGACGTCATCTTAAAAAAAATGTGTTTACGGAAAGCTATGGTTTTTAAGCTTTAAATACATTTTCACTTGTAAAAAGAAATACGACAACGTTTTTTTTTTAAATTTTTGGATGCGCAATATGTTATTGATATGCTGAACCATAATTGACTCATTGTTTAATTTCTTTTTTCAGTTCCAGTAGTCCGTAATCATGTTCAAACAGGTAATATACAAATGTACATTATATATTCATAATGTAATAGTAATCCGTTCAAATATTGCAATCTGAATAAAAAAGACTCAGTGGAAACTTAATAACCATATAGGTATTTTCAATATTGAAAACAATGCTTTATTTGGGTATTGGATTATCGTTTATCATCAGCTGAGTCATCACTGATACAACTATTCAAAGATAAATTCTGTCATCCGCAAACCTTCATAACGTTCCTTTAGTCCAGTAGGTTCCAATAATGACGTACTCTCATCTATTCACAAGGTTCCGATTTTAAGCAGCATTGAAATGATGTTAATATATTCTCATTTTGCTTATTTTCTTTCCTTTGCAGTTCACAAACATCGTAAGTATTCAAAAGGATTCTTAATCAATTAAAAGTATATATAACACTATGATCAAGGATTGTCCGGTTACCTCATTTTTAATTGTTTATACCTCATGTCTTTCTAGTTGTTTTTTTTGACAGGGCTATCATCAGTAATATAATGATTTCGGTCAAATTCTTTACTAAAAATGTCGATTTTCATTGCTTCTGTGCGTGTCGTAATATAGATTCGAAACACTTACAAACCTTTATGTCAGTTTATGCGCTTTTTGTTTGTGTTTTGCATTTTTCATATATTCGAATCAACATCGAGATTCAAACTAATTGTCAATAAATATTTCAGATAAATATATTCAGGAGTAGTTGTATATTGCAATCTATCTTAAGTCTAATAATATTGTAAAATCATTTTGGTTTGTGAGACATTAACTTTTGTGTATTTCGTGGATAACAAAAATCCACGAAATTAAATCCCCAAGAAAAAATAAATGTGGTATGATATAGATAGGGAAAATCAGAAATCAGCGAAGTATAATGTCCATGCAACAGGTTAGTTTATGAAAACCACGAAATTTAAACCCCACGAAAATAAATGATTCTAAAGAAGTTCAATTGAGACACATTTGATATATTTTATCAATATGCATGATATTTTTTAAAAAGAGAGAACTGAAGCTTTATTTACTTAAAGTTATGACCTATTTATTTAGAAACAAACCTCGAAATCGCATCTCGGTTATAGACAATTATAGGTGATACATGTATACATATTGGTTTAGGCGAAGAAAGGGACAGAACTGTCCGATTAAAGATTGGAGGATGTTAAAAATCTTTATGATGTCTACGAATGATTTAATGATAGTGTTAAATATTGCATGTTACATTATGACAATTTTTCACTCATGTACAAATATGTTTTGCAGATGTCGAGAAAGTAGCAGTACCCAAAATAAGTAAGCTTACCGTATACTTATACAAATTGATATTTATCTCAAACTATAATCGCGAAAAGAACAATAACATTTATATATTTATCCTGCTAAAAGATAACAAAATAGTGATACATACTTTGATGTGTATTGATATGATAATGTAATCCTTGTAAATAAGTCAATCGATTTAAAAAGAATACAGCAGAGTAAATATTCAATATCCTAACCCTTTGTTTACCCCGAATGTATTTTCTGCGTGTATGCAACGTTAAGTACTGAAGACAATTAAGTTATATTCATGGACATGATAAAGCATGCTTTAATAATCCTTTATTTGTATTTTTCAGTCACACAAGTCGTCCCACAGATCAGTAAGTATAACCACATTATTCGTTTGCAGCGAGTGAAAAAGGTTTAACATTTGAAGCAGGCACAGATTTTATATTTTTAGAAAAAGAGAAAAACAAATCTTGTCATGTGTTTGCATTAGGCAAAGTGGCCATTGAACTTGCGGCGTTATATCGAGGTTAAACTGTACGTCAACACTGTGCGTGCGTGCGCATACATTTGTATTTTTTATAAAACTATATGCATTTGACTAAACCTGATTTAGTATATGTCATGTCTAGCTACAAATGTGATTTCGGAAACGCCCATCGCCCTAATCATTTTTGAGCGATAACTTATTTCCTTTTTTTATGGTCGCATTCTTATCTTGTATATACAGGGTTCGTTATTTGTATGTTGTCAATATCATTTCTGCTACAAGAAATATTTACTGCAAAGTGAAATGATTAATTATACCTTACTATCTTAATAAAGTTTAAACATATTATATTGTTCAAACGATCCAAATGGATTGGACCGCAAGTTATTACAACTAGAAACAATTATCTCCAAAAGTTAATATAATATGTACATGTTTGTTTAATAGCAATATACTTTGATGAGGTAGATATTTGTTTATTTAACTGATACTGGATACTGACTTGACAATAAAGAAATGGAAAGTATGTGAAATTAGTTAACTGCCTTACTTTCCGCAATATTTCTGGATTCAAAGCTTGCACGCTGTTTGTCATTTAAATAAAAAAACAAACAAACTTATAGTCAAGGCCAATACATACAGGGATACATAATGTCTACAAACATTGCATATATAATTTTGACACAAACCAGGTATTCCACTCGAACACTTATATTTTCAAATTCGGTAATCTTCAAAGTAATCTAGCCAGACTTGGATTTAACATATCGTTTCCTTATGCTTTTCAAATGATTTCAAAATATAATATGTACGCTCTCCTTTCCGTTACAGAGATTCAGAAAGGTAAGTAAAATGTAGTTTATGCTCCTATTTCCGACAATTTCACATTTGGTCACCATCACTTTTTTACATTTATGATATATTGATAAAAATAAACGTGTGTAATGCTTTCATATTTTTGTCGTGAAATACAGATCACTCTGGCATAAGATTTGTTTTTAATACAATGAAATACTATATATTTGTATTGAGCCTATTTACTAAGATTGAGCATGATATATACAGTTGATGGCGATGGCGACAATAGGTTTATAACCAAAAAGTGACATTGGAGTACCATTTTATTTATGATCATTTAGAAAAGTATCAAATCTGGAAACAGAAATGTATTTCATGCGTTTAAAAAAATGTCAATAGAAGTATTAAAAAGGCATAGAGTTAAAATTAGATCAGAAAATGTTTCAATTTTAGATTTGTTTTAGTTACCTTCAAGATGAATCAACTTTTATTATTCGCTTGATAAAACATTACTTTTACTTATAAAAAAGGCAATATATTATTCAGTTTTTTTGATATAATGAATTACGAATAAACTTGAAGAACAAAACAAAGCATGGTCCACGAATCTAATGACCATCGAATGGATAAAAGCATTGATATGTTTGTTTCGTCACTGTTTTACATGTTTTCATTTGTTTATTTACAGTTATTGAACCTAGATACAGTAAGTAATAAGTATTTGATTTTTTTGTAATCTAAACGTTCAATAGAGTAACAGTGTATCACACTAAAAAGCGCATTTTATTTTCAATGCCCATTAAATAAACCAATCAAATTGTTTCCAATTTTAATGAGACTTGGCAAAGTGTACACAGGCAATACAAGAATTTACCCTTATGCAATTCAATAATTTGGAAAATATTTCGTTTGAAAATATCTCAGGTTTTTTCCCTTGAATTCATAAAGATGCCAAACTGTTTACTACAGCAAAGCTGATGCAATATTAGGTGATACGCCGGGCTCGTAACCGAAGGGTTGCGAGTTCGAGTCACAGCACGGCACTATGTTGTATCGTTGAGCAAGATACTTTAATCAGCTTGTTGCAGTCTACTCAGCTGTAAATGAGTACGTGGTTGGACAGTGCTATAATTGTTGAATGCTAGATGTGAGCGCCGAAATGACAGCACCGGCTGTATGCTCCCCAGGGAGTTGAGAAAGATATTGGCTGGTTGCAAAGGCCCTATAACCACGGATAATAATTTATGAACCGCTTTGAGACGACTACGAACTAGTTTGTGATAAAGCGGTATATAAGAATCTCGAAATATTATTTTTATTTTTATTCTTATTAATCATTTGTTGGCCAAATAGTACATCAGGACGAATATTAATTAACGACAGTCAGCTTGGATACGCTGAATACAACAGAAGCGCGAATCAAAGAAGACGTTGTTGTCATAGTACTAAAAGTTTAAAATTCAAATCAAGCGACAGCAACTGAATCGTGTAGTTAATACCAATTACATTTTTGTTTATATTCAAAAAATAAATCTGTTGATACCTCTATTATTTGTCGGAATTAAAAAAAAATCGGAGAAAAAAAATGAATTTATATTCAGAATACATCATTATCAATCTGTGTTTTAAATATTGATCCTTATTATACATTTCCATTTCTTTTTGTTCACAGTTCTGAAGGAGACACTCAAGGAAAGTAAGTACACGCTTATTTCTTCTATTTTTGAAGGTTTACTTCTAATTCTTAATGAAAATCTATACAGTAAACCATTTCATCTCTTTTTGAAAAAATTACAGTCATTCGAAATCGAATTTTGTAAAAAGAATGTTTAGCACACACTGGCTTCAATAGAATAAAACAAACAAATACAAAGGTTATATATAAGTTTCCCCAATTAAACAGTTATAATGAAACAATTATTATTATTATTATTTCCTTTATTTCCTCCAGAAATGAAGAGTTACAGAAAAAACGAACAATACACGTACAATTCAACACTATTGAAAGAGAAGAAAATGCATTCACAATCATGGTCACACCCTTACATAGTGACACACACATGCACATGGACAGACAATAATAATAGTACTTATAAAGTACTATAAACACAACACAATGATTTAATAGGTACTATTACAGTCATCATACGGTGATAATTATGGTGATACTTATGATGATAGACAGTATAACACTAATCATACATTACACCACACATTGATATAATAGACATATTTACACTCCTCAAACTACATTATCATATAATAGTATAGACAGTAATACACTTCTCGTACTAAGCAATCATACAACATTGTAATAAACAGTATTACAAGCATCACACTATAAATTATACAGCATAATTATAGAAAGTATTACTGTTACATAAGTCTTACAATACAATCATACATTGAGTATAACCCGTTGCACGAAGTCATACACTATAGTCATACAGTGGTGTTAAATACACAACATACAATATAATAATTAACTTGAAGAAACAGCGCAACCATGCAATGATTTCAGTTGTAGTAATACAGATCACAAGATTAATTCATACAATACAAACAATATTATGAATGATAGTAAGTTGCACTAATCAACGGGAAAGACGTAGGAACTGCTTGCCTACTAATATGAATACAGAAATATATGTATTTCATGTATTAATCTTGCTGAAGCGTGAGGTACACACAAGTAAATTATTGATCATATTACTCAGTATACAACATTCAAATATCTAAGGATAAATTACATAATACCACTGTATTGAAGAATTTTAGTAATAATAACAATGGATTTTATTCTAAAGTCCTCCAGTTCATATGGAGATAAGTCAAAATTGAAAATACCACCAAGAAAAACATGAAGTAGATGGTAATTAGACATTACATTAAGATTAAACACAAAATCTATATCTTTTACAGTACTGAGTACACACCAGAGCTGGTCACGTAATAGCTCTGTGTGTGCGCATTCGAGTACACTATGCATAATAGTATCATTGTGCATAGATCCACAGTAATGACACAAATATATATTTTCATTATCGCGCATTTCAACACAAAGTATAACAACTTTCTTAAAACATGGACTGTATTGTGGAAAAGTATAAAAGTATAATGAAAGTTATAATGAAACAATGTGATTTGAAGATTCGCTATGTTTGGAACTGTTTTTCCTATGATGAATCATATATGCATATTTCATACTTCGTTGTGGTTTGTCATTCATCGTAGTGGTTTGTCATCTCGATTAGTTTACAATGTTTTAATTCCATTGTAGCTTTACGGCCCACAAAAGTGGCGACGAAGTCAACAGGTAAGATTTCATAGTTTTGCCTTTTCAATCAGAATAGATCTCACTAACATCTATGTTTTTGTTCGTCTGAATTCCTAGAATCTTAACTGCCGTAATAGATGTCGACTCCTGGCGGACCTATACTATGATCCCATAAGAAAATATGCTATTCATTTGTGTGATATAAAGGGCGATGTGTTGAGTTATGCTTATCAGTGTGACGTGTGGTTTCTGATGTAATGACGTTATATTAAAGGGATTTTACCTAGATTTAAATGACGGGTGTCGTCGATAAAGCAAAATATGCTTACCCTTTCGAAACACATGTCATTATTCTACGTTTACCTTTGAAGGGTCTCCACGTTCAAGTTTCTTTTGGACAAATTTTTTTCCTTGGTTTCATCGTCCTCGATATCCAGGGGTTATCCTCAATTACGCTCACTGAACACGTTGAATATGTCTTAGCAAAATTGAAGGCACACAAACAGCTGTTTGATTGGTCCCAGGTAAGTAAACCTGACCAATCACTAGGTTGATACCTTTATATTGCACATTACAAAGGGGTGATACCCGACTTCAAAGTCAGTCAATATTTACCGTTACGCGACTGCGAAATTCTTATGATGTACATCAAAGGATGGGGCTAGTCTTCTTATCTCATTAACAAGCCGGCACACAATGAGTCTTCCATTTTGCTAAGACGTATTCCAGGGATGAAGAGAGCCAAAGTGATCGTTACCCATGGGGTATCGAGGATGTAGTTTTATAAACATCGATATTGAGTAATGGTGTTGTTGCCACTTCGTTTGCCGTTCCAATCGAGTATTTTTATGGTTCCTATCTTGGTTTCTCCCTTCTTCTGTTTTGATTTCACATGTCTGCTCCCTATATATTCTTTTATTTATTGTTCATCTTCTTTTCATTTCTATTGTAATAACTAATTATCTTTGTTATAATTAAAATCACACGCTATCTAGTATTCAGTACAAGAATAAAATCCTGTTGAATATAAGGAAAATAGGTCAATGTGTTGGAGTACATTATTGACTGGTATTTACAGTACAATACTACCAGATCAATGCAGATGGACAACGAGTAGCAATTTCACCAGGTAAAATAATAAAAGGGCTATTGTGAAACAGATTTCAAGACTACATAACAAATCATGTCATTTTTTTCAATTACATCCAAACATGATGTTTATCATCCAAATAATTATTTAGAACAAAAGTGTATGAATTCAAAATAACTCTATTGTATAATCAATATTTCCTATGGATGGGCTCCTTGGTAAATCTGGGATTTATCATTAACAAAGTATTCCGAAAGTTTAAACCATTTGTAACTGACGAGAAAGTATCTTTGTGTAAATTTACGACGAAATTGAATATCTCGAGCGACATTTACGTATATGAAACGTTTATATAACTGTATTTTGTGCTTTTAAGATTTTTCCGTCAATGCGCCATCCGATGTGGCCTTTGAAAATCACTTTTCGCAAAATCTGTAAATGGAAAATATTTGTTTCTCTTTGTTCAGTTTGCTGACGCGGATTACATTAAGCACTGGAATACAATCCATTGTGATTCATGACAGTGTATCCAGCGAAGCGTGCATTATTGCCTGTTTCCTTCAATATGACCCGATTTATCTAACCGTATTCAATATATAAAAAGGGGACTTTTAATCAAACAAGATATCTTAATAAAGACATTATCTTGTTTATTGACTAGTCAAATTATGATGTGTCTCATTTATATGTCTTCAAATATATCCAACGACCTCGTGATAAAAGAAAACTAAACGCTGTTGACTCGTTCCAATTTTTAAAAAAAAGTTAACTTACATGGGTAATAATCAGACATGCATGGCCATGTGAATTATTTGCAATGTATTTATCTTCGTATATGAATTGTCTTGAAATCTGTAAACAAAGTATCTAAAATATCTATGATCAGCTTAGGTGCAGGGCGCTTTTACACAATATATGCTTACACCAGCTTGTGCAGAGGAGCAGCCCAGTTTTGTATACCAAGGCATTACAACATTTGTACTTCCCGCAAGTTCCCTCTCAGACCCCCCCCCCCCCCTCCCCCGCCAAATATGCCTTATTTTGTCTTTATAATTTTGAAAATTATATAGGTTCCTGTCATAACTTTCGAAATACTACGGACGAGAAACATTAGGAAAATATAAACTAGATGTTTTCAATTTATCTTTCTGACTAAGCATTTATACTACGATCAATAGAAGTCCAAAATATAGGAATTTTTTGTGTATGCATCTCAACTAAAGTCCTGCCTAAAACTACGTCTGTCCCTCATAGCCGGAAATGCATGTACAATGCTGCTCATGAACATCAATAAATTCAAATTTAAAGGACAAATATCTACTCATAGACTTGTAGATGCCAATTCCGTCTTTGCGTATTGCAGAGTTATCTTCTCTTGTGAGCAGTATTGATTGTTACGTCATTGGTTTGTGTGATAAAATTACGTCGTTTTCTCAAAAATTGATGACGTTACTCTCACAAACAAATGACGTAACAATCTAGACCTGCTCACAAGAGAAGATAACTCTGCAATACGCAAATACGGAATACGTCCTTTGATATCTATGATATCTAAATAATAAATATATAATATACAACATTTATATAGCGCCCTTCATAACTTGTAAAATTACTTTACAACATATGGATAAACATATTAGTTGATCACCATTAAGCAAGAAGATAATCATCTCAATGTGCATAAACCTACAAAACATATGTTACTTACTCCATGGTCAGCTGCAATATACATTTTCCTTTACTGACAATAATATTCATATCATAGAGTAGGTACGGAACAGCTATCGCACAAGTTGCAACAAGGAGATCAATCTTTAATGCAATGTGCATATAAATGAATAAATAAAGGTCGGTATGTATATGACGTCTGTGCAAATAGTATACAATCCAGACGTGAAGAGGTGACATTCACAAGCCAATACAATATATATGTTATTGTTTAACAAATCATAGACATATAGAGGCCCAATCGTCCTTTATGTATATATGAGCTTTAGGCGCAAGCCACCTCATCGGTTACATATTTATGTTTAGGCCATTATACTTGCTCAAGTCCTTACTGTTTCTTGGCATATGCATTTTTTTTTATCTTTTTGTTTTGTGCTAATATACTGTGAAAATGAAAAATTCTTCAAAGTGGGCGGAATGGTAATTTTTTACGCTTTGGCAATATTAATGATATATTTGTGTAGTTTATACTTATGTATATTGGGTGGGCACATGTTTGTGCCAATTTACCCAAAAGACAAAAACGGAAGCATTTTCACTTTACTATAGCATTTTGCTACTGACCTACTTAGTTTATGCTGTCACTGCTTTGCTTCTTTGCTGCACATATATATTCGCATTTGCTTTGCTTGATATTTTGCAGGATTTTCTTCGGGAGGAAATTTCGGTGGTCCTTGGTATTAAATTGTTCTTCGTGATCATTGTAAATACAACTACGAAACGATCGCAGTAAAGAGGAATTCGGGACGCTAACAACCTGGAATAAACAAATTCAATTCGAGATCGTATGCTAACAGTACATTGCTTTGGCACCAGGATCAATTCTGCTTTGGGATGGGTTATATATCTAATAATGGAATTATGCTAATCAAATTGTGTGTTCTGTGTAATATAGATTGTCTTTAGAATATATATGAAAAATAAATCATGTTCTAGATGTGTCAATACTTGTTATCCGTTTTCATTTGTTGCTTTTGAAATTTTGCTTTTAAGGATTTGTGCAATATGAATTTGTATCTAAACCTGTATTACCCGTAATGTTTTCATGTTATACCCTGCATATGATTATAATATTTAATATATACGACATAAGTATCAAGTAATGAAGAGATAACTACTTTCATATTATATACTGCATATGATTCTGGCATGAACAGTTGCTTTATCTTGTATATATGAATAAGTTATCCTACAATTTTATGTTAACATTTTGTATATACGAAATAGATGTATCGTAATGCAGAGATACCTACGTCGAAATTACGAGAAATATATCCTGTCCCTACATTACGAAACTTTTTTCACTATGAGATAACTTACAAATACTCAGATTTGATGTTGAACTCAGTCTCGGGTTACAATGACGAATACGTGTAATGATCATTAAGGTATATTTTGGTTTTTTTCATTACTTTTGTTTAACGTTACATGTACTTTACACGTCGTGTTGCAGATACATTGAAATCTTCTGACATTGATCATTTAATACAGGATAATGTAAATGTTAAAAAAATATATAATTATTTCAAAATAAGATAATTTTTATTTTCATGAATATATTTTTAAAAATATCCAGGTAAACATACCAAACAACACTGACCGAACTTAAACTGCATTCGATATTTATTGAGATTTGGAAATCTTTCATATTTATGTATCATAATACTATATCATACACATTGGTACAGAATTATCGGATATAAAATAGTAGCATCATGCTGTTTTGTTGTCATCGTCATCACTTATTGCTATATATGCTATATTTTAAATAATGCTGTTTACAAAACAAAATTGTTCAGCATACCAGTTTTTACAAATTATATTATCATTCTTTTGTTTTCACTGCCTTCTTTAACACTCATACTTACATTCATATTTACATTCATAATTAACGTATACGGCCTTACATACATACTTGTGTACAACCAAGGTGCCGTCTCTATGTAAATAACCCCGTAATGGGCCGCACTTCCGGAACAAGTCAGCCATGACCGATTAATATGTTCTGTCTTTTCCGAGGTAACATCGTCTCAAATTGTATTTTGTTTCAGCACAAGTACAAATTATGATTTCATCAGGTGCTATTTCACAAAGTAAGAATGACTGACAACTAACCTGTCAGTCTGCTTATTATTCACTAACTAGGTTAAGTGTTTATGAGCACAAAGTTTGCACCGTTAAATGCACATAACTTTGCACAGTACTGTATGTAATACATACACTACAGTATTGCCTCGGTAAGATATCCATACGCACTAAGCTTGCACCGTTTGATTGATTGCTTTGCACAATACTGTATTTAATACATACAATACAGTATTGCTTAAGTTAGATATCCATACGCACTAAGTTTACACCGTTTGATTGATTGCTTTGCACAATACTGTATTTAATACATACAATACAGTATTGCTGCAGTTACATATCCATACGCACTAAGTTTGCACCGTTTGATTTATGGCTTTGCACAATACTGTATGTAATATACACAATAAAGCGTTACATAGAATAGGTTTTATAAGCACAAAATACACCTTTTGAAATTTTCATATATATATAAATATATATTTGCTCAATAGTTATTGCATACAACACATTAAAATGCAGCTTTACTTAGCAAACCTATTATATCATTATATATATGATATAAACATGATATATTATTTGTTTAATAGTAATGTTACATTTTTTTGGTATTTAGTTATTATCAGATATTACATTAACCCATCTAATTGAGGACTTAAACTTAAGTTTATATTTCCATCTGCAAACGCAACACTGGATATTTTAACTATTAGATACATCGTAAAATGCAATACAGACTGTATAAACTGAAAGAATAGTCATCATTGTCCGTCGATTTGCGACGATTCATTAGGAGGATTAAGTGATGACCTTAAACATGTGTTAAGCTATAGCCGTCAATTGAATAACCAGCCTGTAGTTATTTTATTAACATATTGCCCTGCATTTATTACTTGTAATTCGTGAATTCGTGCCAAGTGTTAGTCCAGTTACAGGAGGAATGCCCATTATAAAGGTCTGACAGGCCACCAGCAGAGCGAGCCACCTTCTTGCGTAAAAAAATATCAAGAAAACAAAATAAAAAGTGAAAAACACATCTTTTTAAAATTAAGTTTGTCAATACACATTTTCCGACATTAAGGCAATTTCCTCCATTTTAGACTCATCAGTTGAAAGATGAACAAAAAATAGAATATGTTTAAAACGTACTGAAACCTTTATGTAAATACAGCGAAAAGGGCAAGAAGTCTATAAAGTTGCAAATATTTGCTACAGCAGCTGAATTATTCTTAAGCTTGTATTTTATGTAACAATGCACAAATAGATTCGAGATATAGGGTCACGGCCTTGCTCTGGGTTTGGAAGACCGCCAGTATAATTGAACATTTTTTCAAGTGAAACAGTTACTAGAAATACTGGAAAAGAAATCCATATGTACAATTAATTTATCAGTACAGAAAACCAAACAGAGATAGCATTTACGGCACTTTCATCCATTGAGTATTTATCAGAGACACTTAAGATCAATATAATAATATATTCATATTTCCGCTTTTTCCGAAAGAGTCTTTCCTCTGCAAACCACTATATGAACAGTACCAGCAGAAATGCATGTCATTTCAGTATGAAAGCAAAAATCTCGTGACGTAACACATGTTTTACTTATGACGTCATATATTAATCTTGTTCAATGAGAGTCTTGTCGCTTTGCTTCGGATAACATGAGGAATGACTCTGCGTCAAACGCTCAAATGACTAGTTTATCATTGAGGCCAATTTTAGTAAAATAGGGATGTTCCACTAATATCGATCAAAGGACGACTCACGTACAAAACGAAGTAAATATTTTAATAGTTTAAGAACGAATAAACTAAATCAAACAATTGTTTTATAGTGAAAATTTAGATAAATGGAGGTTTGTTGGGGGTTTTTTCAGGCAGGTATGAACGCAAATCGGGCTTCATGCAATATTGATGTAACCGATTTGCGTTATTACCGACATAAGCAAATTAAGAAAGGTCGTTCAATCCATATATAAAACGCACACGTATACAGTTAAATGAAATACATGAACATAGCATACATACTATGTATTGGTGAAATTTAGAAGATTTCGGAATTGATCGCGATTGTCCAATCCTTTATAGTAACATTCCAGCTTTCCTCACCCACGCTGTTAACAAATCGCAATTGATTCTGTATTCAAGAGCTTGCCCATCATATCATAATGTCCGTGACAAAATAAACAGATTTTGTGAAAAACAGCAGGTGTGTATTCTTACGAAAATCACCATTCGATGCCCTATACTTGACCTCCATTCAAATTAAAAAAAAAAGAAAAGACGAACATTACCTTATGTTGGTTTTTTAGGGGGGGGGGGGGGGGGGGGGGGGGGTAAGGTTGATTTTTTTACTTCCTCAGCAAATGTTTACGGAGGATGCCAGGGTTGAGGAGCGCTGGGATCTTCCCCCTTTCAAATGCATTTTCCTCTCATTGTAGGGCTTTCATTCAACATGCGTCTTTCTTTCACTTTCTTTCTTTCACCATATTTTATAAATTGGATGGAGATACTAAAACATTTAAACCTTACATGAAGTACGAACACTTACTTACATTGATACACACAACACGTACGTACAATACGTTCGAATTAACTTGATTAATTCGAATTAACTTAATTAATAGCATAATATACTGACCAAAACTAGTAATCTATATGTGATCATCAAATCTAATGACCAAAGCTATATGTATATACAGAAATAACTGAAATAAGTATTGTTCTCTATCCTTCACTTGTAATACAAATAAGACGTTGTGACGTCACATTGCCTCATACAAGTATTCATTATTACATTTATCTGGCAAATATGACGTAGTTGGGTGTTTAATTCTATCAAAAGCATTGTGCAAATTCGTCTTACGTAATTTAAGTGCTAGATTGCCTTCCTAAATGAAAGCTTAATGCACCTTATTTTCGCTTACGTATGTGCACCGTCTATTCAGCACCGCTAACATATATGTGTATCAATACAAACTATAATAGTGACTTTGTGATATTAGTCATTTTAGAAGATGTATATGTTCAATGATATACTGCAGTAAACAATGTCAATGAATTATTTTATCTTTTTAAATAACATTAATTAATTAATCACAATCAATATGAGACAATATATGGCTAGGATTCTGTCTTATCATTTCCTTTCTAAAGGAAAAACAAAGTTATTTTTAATAAATCAATTTCTCACCATGCAACATATATATGAAGATTACTGATTACTTTTTTTAAACTATAGACCAAATACAGACGATTCGTGGGTCACAGGGTAAGTTGATATATATAGCAGTGTCCACATGATCACAACTTTATAATAGACAAACATATTCCGTCTTTGCGTATTGCAGAGTTATCTTCTCTTGGGAGCAGGTATTGATTGTTACGTCATTGGTTTGTGTGAGAAAATTACGTCGTTTTCTCAAAAAATGATGACGTTACTCTCACAAACAAGTGAGTAACAATCAATACATGCTCCAAAGAGAAGATAACTCTGCAATACGCAAAGACGGAATACGTCAGCCATAGTTATATATATGTTTCATATGTCTATGATAAATGATAAAATATAAAAAAAAACATCTCCATAGAAACTACTTGTCAAAAATATACTATAACACGTTTTATATATACCACCTGTTTGTATTTACCCACCGCTTGTATTCCGCGGGAAAATTGGCAACGATTACATCTATCAATAGCTGCCATCTATTTATAGCATATTGTCAAATTTTCGTAAACGTTACTTTCTGTAGATAACTTTTGTCTAAAACGTTGTCATGCATAGTCTGTCGTACAATATAATCTGACTTAAGTGTGTGATAAACTTGCCATATATAGCTACATCTTGCTATACTTGCCTTTAACATATATACAAATTAAAAAAAGACATCGTCTGTTTATATTTGTATATAAAAGATGGTCTAACTGACATAAATGTATATGACCACGACCTGTCTGAATCATACAGTCAAATATACCATAGACTCTATCTGTTAACAGCTACAACCTGTCTGAACCATACAGTCAAATATACCGTATACACTATCTGTTAACAGCTACAACTTGTCTGAACCATACAGTCAAATATACCGTATACACTATCTGTTAATAGCTACGACCTGTCTGAATCATACAGTCAAATATACCATAGACACTATATCTGTTAATAGCTACGACCTGTTTGTAATATACGGTCAAATATACCATAGACACTATATGTTAATAGCTACGACATATCTGTAATATACGGTCAAATATACCGTAGACACTATATGTTAATAGCTACGACATGCATGTGATATACAGTCAAATATACCATAGACAATATCTGTCAATAGATACCACATGTCGGTAATTTAAAGTCAATCTAACCATACTGACCAACTGTCATTAATATGAATACTTGTACAATTTATCCCTGTTGGAATATTCGTGAATACGATTTATAGTAACATGTTATGTTTTATATTAAATCATTACAATTAATTGCAGTATGTTACACAATTTTAATTTTGTTTAACGCGTTCTGTACATGTTCAGTCAGAATAATCTAACTTCACAAAAGTGTTAGGTTATTTGTGCTACGACACATTTCTAGCATAATTACGTTCTATCTAGCAACAATTGCAGTTAATTTTTTGAGTGTATGATATGAACCTCATCACGTGGTGTGTATTAACCTTTAAAATGTGACGTCACAATCATAATGTATTGACGTCTTAGCTCAAAGACAGCGATGCTGATGGGTATTCATTGATATGATCAGCATATTGCTTCCCTAAATTGTAATTTATAATTATGTACTCTTTCATTTAGATAGTTATCCTCGTCATACTGCCAGTCTCCCAATAGCAAAATGGCATTATAATGGTGTAAAAATGAAAAGCAAAATATGAAATGAAATGACAGTAAGCTGTAAGTAGATACATGATCATTGTATTAAGAGTAAGTTGTACACTAACCATTTACGTAATATAATTAAATTTAGGTATGATTAGCGGCGGCAGGACCAGTGGATTCAGTCGAGTTGGTTCAGGTATGTCCTCTTCAAGAGGAGTAGCCTTCGGCGATCCTCGTTTAACACATGGTGTAGCTGGTTTGGCAACATACGGGAAAACTCACGGTAAAATTAATTAATATCCATTTCACAAGCTTTAAATGGAATATAGCTTTTTTCTGTAAACAATGTTGTTAAAACAATTGAAATAAATCAAAACAAAGGGCTATAAATAATTAGATCTAACATCCTGAAATTTTCATTTATTGATGTATTTTGATATTTATGTCAATTTAAAATACCAATAGACGTATTCAGTCCTGCCTGTTGTTGTCACTAAGCAAATTCATTCAGCAATTATATCAAGATTGGATATCTAAACTAACGAGCCCTTAATAATTGTCATGAGGTGGAGTAATTGCGCTTTTCCCGTGAAAGCATAACGATTAAAAGATACATATAACATATTGCGAGGAAATATATTCCTTATTATTATGTTGTATATTGAGTGTGGGTGTTGCACAGCGTTATACAACGTACTAATGCTTTATATTATTTTCCTATGTAAATTACAAATCAGCCGTGAATTCATTCACACAGCTAATTTACTTTACTCTAATATGTTGCCGAATCTTGTGAAATTACATCTCTGCTGCTATAGATTCCCTAATTTGTGAAATAACACCTCTATCATAACTGCTTTTGTATTGTAGTCAATTATTCCCTTGGTTTTTAAAATTACAATGTTGTGAAATATTCCCGTCATTTGTAAAATTACCCCGAGGTCATACATTCCCTTTATCTGTAAAATTCCACTAATGCCATATATTCCATTATTTTGTAGCAAAACACTGCTATCATACATTCCTTTCATCTGTAAAATCACATTTTCACGTATAGATTCTCTCTATTAATAAAACAACACTTATGTTATAGATAATCTTAATTTGCATAATTACACTGATGTCATAGATTACCTTAATTTGTAAATTTACTCAGACTGCTATAGATTAGTTTATTATGAACAGTAACTGATCTGAAGTAGTGTATTTTTGTAAAGTATATATGACATGACTGCATAAATTGGAAATTAAATATGTTAAACAAAATCCTGTTATATTATAAAATAAATTTAACAAAATGCATAGTCTTCATAAAAATAAAAAAACAACATTTTTTACTGAGAAACAAAACCAGTAATTGTTAAGATTAAAATATTCGTTCATAAGTGCAAATATTGTTCAATGCATGACGTAACCAGATCCTTTTTATATCTTTTATATCCAAAAGTGTACCACGGTATATGTTTGTAATCTCTATAGTGTATTAGATTATAATCAAAATTGTCCCATGAGTCATGATTGTGTACTTCGCTCTTCGATCATTTTATAATCACCAATGTCCCATTTTACACTTTTTGTTTGGAAAACAATTGTGTACAAAAATGATCGAATGCAAAGTGAATTAAACGAGTGTTTAAAAAAATGTACAACTGTACTGAGTAAATGTATAACTGAACAAAAGTGTATCAATGATGATCACGAAAACGAGCAAAAGCACACACGAATTTGTGATATTGCACACTTTCGAAGGCAAAAGTCATAGAAAGTGGCTGTCAACTTTATGCTACCGTTAAAGAGTCCTCCGTGATATCATAAAACACAAATATTTGAGATGATTGAATTTTTCAATGTTTATGACATTTTCATCGGAAACAGGCATAAGGCATAGAGCAGGCCGTCGACGTTACAGAACCAATAATGGTAAAATAAGCACTTACTTTGGTTCACTTAATGTATCAAACGGTTGGAAATTTTCAAACGTCATCTGTTAAAAATAGATAACAGACCCTTCATTTTTGCTGCCGAATTATAACATTTGTTGTCGTCCCTTTTAATGCACATATCAACACAATTGATGTCAAAAAGTGAACTGATGTCCATGTAAGTGTGACCTCATTTACGTACGCATCGGGAACTAATGTTACAGTTGAGCAGTGAAAAGAAAAGGTGTCTGCCATAAATCAATGAACAAATGTCAGATCAAATTTAAACAAAGAGATAATATAATTTGAAAATGAATTTCAGAATCGTTAGAATAAAATCATGACAATCACTTTCACATCACATATAACTTATCTGAATAAATAGAATCCATTAATTAATGACGAACTATTATGTTATTAAATTATTAATTTTTCTTTAGGACGATACACAAGTCAAAGTTCATCAGGTGAATAAAACAACGTGTTGAGTTTATGTTTGGCGTTGCAAGCTAATTATTTTGCTTTCAGAAACACTTATCAACATCATCTTGATACTATTTCAGGGAGGACTATATTTAAATAGTAAAGTAAAACAATGCATTAGTTTATTTTAAAATAAATATTAATATAAATTGGATTATGCATAACGTATAAAGAATATATATATATAGTCATGTCTCATGTTAAGCCATGTTCCAGATACTGCCAATTCTTTATTCTCCGTGAGATAAACATCTTCGCGAAAACGTGCGAGGTCAGATAATCGAAAATTATCCTAATTAATCTTGCGAAAATTAAATACGTCCCTGTTCAACAAATGACATGTATCCAATATTTATTATTCCTTCATAAATTAAAATCCCAGCAAATATGTCAATAAACGAGGATAGATAAAATAAGAGCTTAGAAAAAATACAGAAATGAGGTTTATACATACTATAATATGTTATGGGGAACAATTTTTTTTATGTTTTAGCAATAATTATGTACAAGATACATGCAGTAACGATTTTCGTTTATGTTAACTTTGACCTGATATAGATTTACACACTGTTTAATGTCAAGAACTTATTTAAATACATAGTTATTTCAGGAAAGATGAACAAAGGATGCACACTTTAAGCTTATATGTTTTTTTCCGGTACCAGCACAACTTTTGTTTCACTTTAGATTTGTTAGTATTCATACTTCTACGGATACTTTTAGTAAACACTGTCTCTATATATGTGCATATATTGAGTGTTACACGCTAAAGCTAAACGCACTCTGCCATAATAGGTATTCCGGACTCAACGAGTCGAGCTGCCCGTTTCAATACATTAGAAATATATCTCTGTCAAAGATTAAGGCAATGCGTAATATATTTCATTCGGTTTATATACATATCAAACTGGTTGAATATCTAATCCGAATTAAGCAAAAAGCATCAGGAAATGCCTCCCTCCTGTAGATACCTATCCTTACCTATCAAAAGATATATCCTCTTTCGGAACAGAACATTCCGTTTATACCATATGCAATTATGATGTATATATAAGACTTTATTCATTTTTGTCTTTCTTTATATTTTATATTGGTACATGGTTTAATTGACAATCCAACTCCATTAACAATAAAGTACTTCTCGCAAAAAATAGGTTTTATTTATAATTATTTGATAAGCGTATGCAAGATTGACTTACCCATAGCAAACTTTTGAATTGTAGTGTTGCATATCGAGATGTTGTGCGTCGATGGTTCTATATATTGTCTTATATCTTTTCTTTCTTAAATAATGATCTGAAATGATTGCTTTAAATTATTCACAAACTGTTCGCGTTTGTTCACGCTTTACCATTTATTTATTTTATGCATATGTTTACTTAACCTCTTGGCGTGTGTTGTTGTTCAGGATGTCATTCCGTCTTGTTTAATGTATTTGATATTTTCTCATGATATCGTTCAGTCTTTTATGGCGCCTCTTAAATTCGTAATGTTGTTCGCATTGATCTTGAATACCTAGTCTGCTGGATAACCGAACTACTCGGTCATAAAGCGGACGTAAAACCTATCAATCAATCGATCTTGAATTCCAATGACATCCTGACTTTGTTTAACTTTTGACTTAAGTTGAAACCCACAAAGTATGTGTTTGATCACATAGAACACTCCTTCATGACCCCTTGTTCATATTGACATGCGTATTAACGGTTATAAAGGTAAGTATCCTTTGCCATTTTCGAAGAATAGATCAGAAATTTCTTTATCTTTAATTTTAGTTATTTTTGTTAAGTATGATTTCATTATGATAATTTTGCTTCACAATGCAATTTGTTGATTGAAAATATAGTTCAATGTTGTATCAATGGAATACAAAGAGAAAAGAAATTTCTTGGTGAAATCGGATAATTCACTTATTGCTAAAATGAACAGATGTACACATGCTTTGTCAAAACTCTATTTGTTTTATCTATGTGTATTGCTCATACATCGATACTTTGCCTACACTTTCTGGTACGTTTTTTTCTAATATCAAGCCTGATCGATAAAAAACTATAAAAACAAAAAACAAAAAACAAATACTCACTCAGATCTGATGACTATCAACTATAAATGAAATGACTATAAGACATTCTGATCAATCGAATGTTACTTGGTTGCGTATTCGCCAGAGGCTCGCTTAAATGAAAAATTCTTCAGACTCATTTCATCAATCTCATATGAAATTTAAACTCATGTATACTTATATATTTATATATACATCATTGCCTGTATTGGATTTTGTTTTATACTAAATGACTTGGAAAGTACCACGAGTTCATAAACACGTTTGTTCTGCCTTTGTTAACGACTAACATAGACATCCACAGCCTGCACGAGTTATGTCCCTTTAACTGAACTAGCATCTATGGAATCTTTAATATTGCCGTATGAATGTGTTATCTCCATGTTATAAAGCAGCTTACGATGGCTAATTTTAGGCAGTATTACATTTCGTCTTATAAGGAAAATAATAAATACTGTAAAGGACATCGTTAAATAGTTCCAAAAATATTTCTGTCCTGCCATGAATAACGCCATGGAACTCTTCAAATGAAGTTTAAAAAAACTAGCTTCCAGTTTTGCCCATTTATCATTGTTATACGATATGTCTATTGGTCACGGAAACCCTCATATACGTCAATATATCAGCCAATCAGGTACGCTGAAATAAGGATAAGGTTAATTAGAATAAAGTTACCACTAACATAGAAAAAAACACCGTTGTGTGACATTATGGTAAATGGTTATTCAATGAAAATGCTATTTTTTCACTATGTTCCGTGTGATTGTCCTGGTTGTCGATGATCATATTTAAGACACATTGTTTTTTGTTATTCCCAGGTCCCATTTTCGCACGTGCTGGAGGTATGTATACATAATGCTAACAGTGCATTTCTATTTCTATAATCAATAAAATAATTAATAAGTACATCACTTTGAAAGTATCACGAATTTATACTTCCCGTTACAATCATCGCTTTTAGTCTGTAGAATTTCTGTCTTTTTACCCCCTGAATATTCTGCATGGAATCTTCATTATTGCCTTATGAATCGCTTGTATGTGTGTTGTTTAGACATTTGTTTAGTCTGTCTACCAACTATTTTATAATGATGCTAAAATATATTATCTTAACCAATCAGAAACGTTGTTATGATGTTAAATATCACAAAAGTACCACTAACATTAACTAATTATGTGAAAACATTATTAACATATTTCGAAGGCATCTTCCTCAATATTTTGTGTGTGTTTCTTTTGGCCATAGTGACTACATATACGACAAATTAATCATTATTCTATCTTAACGTTTAGGTCACATGCAGCAAGGTGTTGCAGGTGTTGCGGGTATTGCAGGTATGACAGGTATGTAAATAGCATTCGATTACTGTGCATAAATATGCTCCGAGATATCTCGATATCATTAATTTCGGGTTACTGATTCTGGTACTTCGATAACATGTATGTTATGGGATACATAATCACCCTGGATCTAATTAAATGGTCTAAAAACACAACGAATTGTGCTCAACCTTGTTTGAATATTCCGATTCAATGCATGGCATACATGAAAATCGTATCTGCAATCGACATATGAATGTTTAGAACTGCATGATTTGATGCATATTTTAGAATATATAAACAAATTACGCAAGAACATATCATGCAAATTTGCATGCTAACTACTTGCAATCATGCACATGTTTTATATGCACATGCCTAGACATAAACCTCAAAATTAATTACAACATTTTATTGAGTCATTTGTATTCCGTCTTTGCGTATTGCAGAGTTATCTTCTCTTGTGAGCAGGTATTGATTGTTACGTCACTTGCTTGTGAGAGTAATGTCATCAATTTTTGAAAAAACGACGTAATTTTCTCACATAAACCAATGACGTAACAATCAATACCTGCTCACAAGAGAAGATAACTCTGCAATACGCAAAGACGGAATACCAGCTACGAAGTAAATCTGTGCAGCAATTTTGTACAGCTAATCAGTTAATAGATTTGGAAAAAATATCTTATCCCTCTTTTTCCTTTGAAACAGGTGGAGCGGCAGGCGGTTCAATCGGAGCTATGAGTAAGTAATTGAAAGTAACGAAACGGGTGAAAATGCTTAACGTAAATAAGCGTGTGTTTCTCTACCTTTTTGAAAGAATAGATTTTTTTTGTATTACATAATTTGGGATGGATATGCAAGCAATATCGATAATTTTCTTAACTGTTTTGGTCAATGAACATTGATGTCATTCTGGTTAAAATATAGGTTTTAAATTTCTCAACAAACTAATATATATATAATAGTATTTAAGTAATAAATACACATCAAGAAAATCAGGAGGGCACATTAAAATGGTACATAAGAATAAAATATGGATTACGCTTGGTTACTTTTGAATTGTTTGCTAATTCTTGTTAAAAGATCTAGGGGAAGTAACTCTTACATCACTTCCAGCCATAATATATAAAGTAGCATACATCCTTAATAAATACTTATCTCACTACTTTGTTAAAATGTATCTTATTTTCTTTAGTTTCAGACCTTCAATCTGGTGAGTAAAATTCATTTTCGTTTGGTGAAAACATTAAACAGCTTGAAACCTGGAATGCATTCACAATCTGTTTTATGAAACTATAAATGCAAAATGTTTATAGCAGTTACGATTAATGGCGAATATTCACAATATTTGCAATTAGTTTTGTGGATAATATAATTTTCACATTTTAAATAAAATTTTGTTTTCCGTTTATAAAGAAATCAAGGGATGAGAACGTTTTGCAGTTGATCAGCAATTTTTTGTGTCATAACTTCTGTTATTTACGAGCAATAATTACAAAGTGGCTTGTTATTGATGCATACTATGTCGTTACTGTTAAATGTAGCATAATCCTGGAAAAGTCTCACATAAACCTTGTACTATTAAAAACTCCCCATATATGGTATGCCATAAAAGTTGATTGAGTCGGTTGTTTCATCGACGTAATTTTAAAACAGATAAGCCTCTCAATTTAAACAACGCACGCCTTATCAATGGTCTGTCGCTTGGTACATGTAGTAAAGCTGGTGATATTCGCAATTGAAGTCTAACCATAAGCAAACATGTCTCAATTAACTTCATTTTGATGTTTTATATGTTCATTCAATTTTGCTTCCCCTTGTGATTTTTGAGGGGATTCGTTGCTTTATACCGGGAATTGTTCGCCCAGTCAAATTGTTCGCCCGTCGGCAGTAATTTCATTTTCGCCCAACATTAAATTTGCCCTTCTCATTTAACTACTAAAGGTAGCCAGCACTATGGGATCATTCTTTATTATCATGCAAGATGGGTTAACGTTCAAACACAAGGGTCGTCGGGTTCATTTCTGATTGTACATATGTAAGTAACGCAGACTGTTCTAAAAGGAAAACATTATTAATTCAAGACTTGAAAAAAACTTTCTCGAAATTTTTTGTTGATGTTCAGAACAATTCATAATAAATATTTATTTATTTTTTCAACAGGGATGCGTAGCAATGCCGGACATCAAGGTGGGTTTGCACAGGGAGCAGGAGGTGTGTATGCTATAATTATATTATATAATGTTATTTCATTTTATATAAGAGTAGTGCAAATTTAACAACAATATCAACAACAATAACAAAAATAGTAGCAACAACAACAAACAATTGTAAAGCTATAAACGTAAATCATAACTTTCTTCCAGTGTACCGCTTCGTATATTTCTAATACTGCGCAAATTTATAATGACGATTTTTTTTTATTATTTTTTTTTTCTCTGTTGCGTTTATTGCGATAATACCAATCAGTCAATGTGCCAGTCTGCTAAAACTCTTCGATACATCGATAAAACTTGCCATGTTCGTTGTAAAAGTGAATGTAATATTAAACTCAAATATCTCCAACCCCCTGCAAAATGCCGTTATTCAATAACTGTTAAGATAATCTTAGGTAAAAGAAGTCCCGATCGGACGTGAAAAAGTATGGGGTCACCTGTCCGACCACGTTGGTTTTCAACGGGTACTCCTGATTTCTCCCTCAATAAGTCTCCCGCGCGCTAAATTCCGGGCATACACGAGTGATTAATATGAATAAAAAAAAGATTTAAAAGAAACATCAGAAATACCATTATATTGAAACTGTTACATAATAATTGGCTCTATATAAAGATGATATTCAAAACACATTTTAAAAGTTATACTTTTTTATTGTATTACTTGATATTGGTAAAATGAATAAATTGCCATTCATTGTTAAAAGTACAACAATCAAGATTCCTTATGCCAGCGAGTAAGTATTTAGTGTGAAACTGTAGTAAACCTGTATCCTGTATGATGTTAGTATGCACGTACTAAAATTATGTATATTCAGTGTACGAAGAAAATCTTCATTATATATATATGTAGTTCCTTTGCACGTTAATATACAAAGTATTTGTGAATTATCGTGTTGGTAAAATGAGTGTGTCATGCAAATATGTTGATATCACAGGTTCCGTCCAGTACCTGTAGTTTTTGTCTTGTCTTGACAGAGGATCTTGTCGTATTAGTAGTTCCATAATGTCTGTCAAATGTCATTTAATAACGAATTGTCAATATTGTACTACTCATAAACATATATCTAAATATAGTAACAATTTGGTCACCTTGTGTTATATAACAGAAAAAGAACAAAAAGTTTGGGTTTTTTTCTGATAATATATATATATATATATATATATATATATATATACTATATGTATAAAGTTTGATACATTGATAATTTAAACAACCGAAATATTTACAAAATTGAGAAAAAATATACTTTCGAATTCACAATAACAATTACCATACAAAATAGAAATGTAATATGCATATACTGTCTGATATGTTTATTATCTATTTTTCTTTCATAATATCCTTTTCGCATGCCTTTGATTTGTAAAGATATATTTTATCGATGTTTTTAGCGAATTTGTTCAGATTCTGCGACTTTGCAAATGTAACATATATATCCGTTACTTGGTTTGCAATGCATTATATTATCATTTATATAAGCGATGACATACCGATAAAAAAAAAAACAGCTATTTAGTTTGATATCAATAAAAACACTCTCAGAAATCTGTGGAGGACTCATTATCGATACGATAAGACGAGGAATATAATTTTCAAGAAAGTTAATGTATGTCCATTGCATAAGAATTATTGACAAACATTTTAAACTTTAAAATTATTTATTATCTTTACTTACTAGAAGCAATTATATCAAATATTTAGCAAAGCACTGGGATGCATAAAGCAAAGCTAGCTAATCGCGATTATAACGCAAACGATTAAATTCAAGTTTTGATAAGTTCCTTAAAGTCATTAAACCTTTAGTTTGACTTTATTTTTGTCTACATATAATTTTAGTTACTTCTTTGTATATAAGTTTGAGTTCTTGCGTTAACCTATCATAGCATAACGCAGATATTTAATAGTTTTGTCTAAAATAATTGATAGTCGTAAACACAATGACATTTCCCTATTATGAAGTGTCCCGACGCAGACAGTATCTACCAAGGAGTAAGTATACATGTCATGGAAATGTATCATGAAATATATTTTATAGTTAGTTTGCACATCTGAAACAAATAGTATACCAACGTTTGTAAAACAAGTACACAACCTTTACCATTCACACCGACGAGCTTGGATATATTTAGTTACTTTTTTACATTAAAAAAGTGTCTGTTTTTATTGTCAATGACATCATACAACCTCGCAAAAACAAACTCAAAAAAAGGTGTGTTCGTTGTGTTTCTACACAGTGTGATACAGTAATTGTCAGAAAGTGTTTTAATAACGGTAACATTGATCACACATTGTAATACGTAATCGTCAAAATGAAACGGTTTCTTTGTTCATTGAACAAAAATCCTATATTACTTCTCACGCCAATATAAATGAAAAGAATCGATTTAGCAACGACAGACTGTCTTCGCAAGGGAGGCTGACCTAATGCTACGTAGCAAATTCATCTTTGGTTATACACTCAACACAATTAATGGGGTAACTGTATTTATGGAAACCAAAAGTAACATTCTCTAGTGTTTAGCCTGCAGTGGGATAAGAATCCTCAAGACTAGGTGTAACTAGATGTACCATTTCTAGTTAGGTTATATGACCTTAGGTGGGTAATTAACAGAGCCACTGCAAGTAAATGACATTGATGAATACAAACTCATATTTATGTTACACAATGACGCATATAGTAAAATATACAAATATCATAAACTTCATACCTTCATGGATTTGAGAAATTAAAAAGAATATGTAAATACATGTATGTACGCACCGTAAAATTATAACCATGTAGATATAGTTGTAGTTTAGAAATATATTACACAAATATTTATTAGTAGATATTTCGTCTTTACGTATTGTAGAGTTATCTTCTCTTGAGATCAGGTATTGATTGTCGTCATTGGTTTGTGTGAGAAAATTACATCGTTTTCTCAAAAATTGATGACGTTACTCTCACAAACAAATGGCGTAGCAAGCAATACCTGCTCTCAAGAGAAGATAACTGCCATACGCAAAGACGGAATATGAGATAAATGATATGTTTATGAAGAAATATCATTTTCATGTTTATGTTTTAGTACAATTTTTGCAAACTGTAACTTGTATAGGCACAACGTAACATTAAGCTTTTGTATATAATTTTCACTTTATTTTTAATAAAACCAGCAAGTTATTACATTTAAAAAAGAAGCAATGGTTTGTAATGAGGGTTGACAAAAGCATCATAACAAAAAGTTATATCGGCCATAAAATGAAAGAAAACGACATATAATTGATACTTTTGGTCAAATTTATTCAACAGCAGTGCACCGCTTATGCCTTGAGCATAGGGAAACGTTGAGTTTCCAACTTCTTGACACAAGAATTAGTATTTCCTTGTGTTTTATTGATTTATTTATGACAAGGGCGCAAAAAGCTTAAATGTATATGTAAAGTCAGTCAGTGAAGAAAGAGAAATAAGATATTACGACCGACTTCAACACTAGCAGTTTTCACCCTTCACTGAAGAGCCACGTGAAGGACGTAAGCTGCTAGTTTTAAGTCAGCCGTTATACCGTATTATATATATATATATAATATTATAAATCAGAAAAATCATCCTTACGGACGAAGAAATATAGGATAAAAGAAAGAATAATCAACAACGAGTCTTTAGTATTTTCATCTCTTCTAGGAGATTATTCAGACGGGTTATTTGAAGTATATGTTGTGACGTCATAAACTATGACGTCACATAATAGTTCGCTATATAGTATATATTATTAGTTGCACAGTTTGTTAGTGACCTAATACGGAAAAAAATATTGGGTCTAAAAGAAACTTGTATCGGGCGAGGCCGTATTAGGTCACTAACAAACTGTGTAACGAATTTAACCCGTCTAAGGCCGTTTGGATAAAAAAAACTGTTAACATTCTTGTTAACATTTCATCGGCTGTCGTCTGCACAAACCGCTTGGTCGCCATCATGTTACAAGTTGACTCTTATGGGCAAAGAACGATAACTCTTTCGTACTCACCTAATGAATATACTGGATATCATGTGACGTCGTTTTAACCAATAGGACTACAGGATTTTTGCCTGAGGCGGGATAAATATATATATACATATTACAAGGTGGCGATATGCATTCAAATGTGCTTTCGTTGTTAAATCTTCGGTATAATTACGAATTTGGCATAACTTTTGTAGGTGTAGTTTCGGACGGGCAGGGTAAGATTTTAATATAAATGTTCTATATACGATACACATATATGCATATGCTTTGTATATTTATGTCTCCTATGTGTATATATTATCTATCTGCACATCTGGGATTTGCTGTTCAATCCTTCGCTATTATTCGTATTTACAAAATAATTATATTATCAATGTGTGTGTGCATGTTTCTCTGTATCCACTGTTCACCAATGTGCCATTGGCATTACTTTGTGTGGATATTTTAAAGATCGGTTGCACTTGCAACACTTTTAAAACGTTACTCAAACATTGACCAATAACCCACAATAACCAATGGTCTCAACACATATGCCTTATATACATGTATTTTACTTATGGAATGTAACATAATGCAATTAACATTAGCAGCTCATGATTTTGCATGATTTTGTTTTCTTCCACCTTTCTTTGGTTGTGTCTTGTTTAAGACGGAGGAAAAAAACATATTTTAAAACCCGGGGTGAAGACGGAGGAAAAAAACATATTTTAAAACCCGGGGTGTTTTTTTGTTGGGTTTTTTTTTGAGGGGGGGAGGGGGGGGGGGGCTGATGTTTCAAAATAACACATTGTGACGTCGTTAAAAGTTATTGGCGGTAACCATACGCCACAACACGTGTTTCTGTTTACAAGCTGCCATTGTCATAATAGGATGGAAGAAAAAATATCATAACCGGCCTTGCTTGTTTAGCCGAAAAATTGCAAACCCTCGGGGATATTATGTTAACGTCTAACCCTCGAAGCACAGGGTTAGAGAACCAAATAATGTCCCGAAGGGTTGAAGATTTCTCTGTTACACACTAAAGGGAAGGGATGATTGAATTCATCAACATAATATTAATTACAATGTTGAATACATGGTATGTATACACATTAAGTGAATTTACTAACACTGTATATCATCTTCAAAACCCAGAGGCATGTAATTACACGACACGATAAAGGTTTTTTTCCTGTGTGTGTTTTCTCAAACAGGTGGAACTTTAAAACCAAAACTGCTTTTATTTTTAAAAATGACTGGGAAAAAACAAATACCCGAATTTTTCAGAACTTTCTTAAAACACATGTGGCTTTGAACAACGTGATTAACGATTACGATCATGTTGAATAAGCATTCAATATACCGGAGAATATTTTCTATCGTTTAATCTTCGCCCAGCAGTATGAACATAAAGAAAATTATGAGGAACCCTAACACAGTATTTCACTTTAAATAGCGAAATAACCGCGAAAATGGATATTATGATAACGATTGAAGGGCGAATATTTCCATAGGCGGAATTTCCATACATACATTATTTTATCAATTTTTTTGACACGTTAATAATAATATCGTTTGTAACTAATACTGTTTATATCACAGAAAGTTGATAATTGAGAACACTGACGTACTGAAGTCGGAGAAATGCTTTGTGAGATCTGGAAGGTCTCTGGCAAAATTGACCACTAAAATGATTGACCGTGGACAAAAATACCTTAACAGTTTCTCGTAATTCTGTTGACAGAAATGAAATCTAGAACTACTTAATCCAAACTCATACTTATTAATTATTCAAAGCACAACTTTGAACATTTTTATTTTTTTTCCTTTCAACTCTTAACTATATATTCAACATGTTAACAATACAAATGCCTTATTACAATACAAATGTCCCATGAATTTACCGTTTATATATATGTAGATATATAATTATATTTTTGCATACGTCAATAAACAAAGTAGCTAAAAAAGGCAAAACTTTTTTTTTTTTTTTTTGTTTTTCAAATATCTCAACGTTCCGTCGTTCCGTTATTGACATTGAATGTGTATGTAGATTTCGCATTCACACTGAATTGAAATTATAAGATTGATATTCTTTTTGTACTCGTTTTATATTAATTTCTTTGGTATTTTATTACTTTTTCCGCATTTTTATAACAAATAAACATTTTGATGTAATCCTTCAATAACATATAATAAATATTTTGATTGTTTACAGTGCTTCAACAGCTGAATCGCCAGCCAATGACTGCTAAACATATTTATGGTAAGTTTAACTGTTCATTGCTATGTTATATTGATATAATTTAATCTTGCTTGAAACAAGCGTGGTCATTGTTCATTGGCTTACAAATTTATGTTATCAGTCCATAACGTAAAAAATGACGTTGCCGTTTGTAACGTCGCTTTTGATTGGCTGATACTGCAGCGCAATAATTTCTAAGAGAAAAAAAGACCATCAATAAAAGTGGATTTCCACAGGGATTGTGTATAGTAGATTAAATTATAAGGATTAACTTGAATATATTTTTCATGTTATAGAGCTATAACACACAAAAAACGGAGTGTACTCTCATCATAAACCGCTTCGCGGGTTATTTAGAGTACACTCCGGTTTTTTGTGTTATATCTCCATAACATGAAAAATATATTCAAGTTAATCCTTAATTGAAGCCCGTTTTTGCTACTTCAGGGCGTGTATTTAATAAACTTTTTATGAAACCGTTCTCATAATCAAGCATGAATATAATTCCTTAACCTAATATCTTGTTTCTGTTATAAATTATTAAGATACTCTTCTTTTATCAATAATTTGGGAAGAATTTGAAGTGATTTAAAGCAAAACACTTTTTGTAATGTTTACATTTAACTCTTTGGTCGTTTGACATTGAAGCAATTTACAAGAAAGTTGGTTTGAGCACAAAATCCATGTTTGAGCATGAACATGAGTTCATGATAACGGGTAAAGGTTATACTTAGATGTCCATTCTGTATTTGGTCGCTCTTTTCATAAGATTTAAAACATTTTTTTTTCTTTTTCTCTGCCGACGTCTGGAACCAATTTTGTCCTTTAACTTTGGTGAATGAGTATTTTTTTTCTGGTTTTCTAGTTATTTATAAAAATCAATATACGATAAATAATAGCAGAACCATTACAAGCTATCTACCTGTTCTCTATCTATGTGTGATTTTCTTATATCATTATTCTCCCTTTTTTGCAGGGAAAGTAACCAACAAATAATAAGCATCTTTGTAAGTATGACAAGGCAAGTCTACGGTGTCATTCAACATATGTGTGACATAATTGAATTAATAAATTAAATGTAGAATATTTATGAAAAAATATTCGATATAGTCACTACTGAATATATGCATACTTAACTATATTTATGCATTTTTGGTTTTCTTAATTATAATAATTCTAAACATGACTTTAACTCAAATATCATTGTCATTCATACATTGTATGTCATCCTGATAACAGTCTAGCAGTTTCGTTAGGGAAATGTTTCTTTCAGATGATCCGATCGGGCGTCACACCTGTCTTACCTGTAAACTAGTACTCCTAACAGTGGCACTGAAAACAAAATGATAATTGCATTAATCAAAAAGGTGTTCAATACGCTTTGTACTTACAGGTATTCATCATGGAGAATGGCGATTAATTTTTGAAAATTAACGAAGACTTCATTATTCTGCACAATTTTTTTGAAAACAGATTTCGTTTGAATTTCGAGGAATTTGTATTTGATGGTAGCGTTTGTTCATTATCATCTTCGGGCGTCGAAAATAAAACACAGTTTACTTTTTTATAATTATCTGTTTTCGTTTTGTATCTACTTTCACTGCATCGTGTAACGACCTTTATCTCGCGCACTGAAACATACTATGGGTAACTCATATGTGCGGAAGAGCAATACATTGATTGTTTGTGTTACTTACTCGAAATTTCAATAAAACATCTCAAAATATCGGACAATTATCTCGAAATGTCGAGTTGTTATTTCGAAATTTCGAGCGAACATCTTAAAATGTCGATGTATTAGGTCGACATTTTGAGTTAGTATCATGAAATTTAAAGGACCATGGAGTTACACGAAAAAACGATATTCGTATTTTTACACTTGACTCTTATGCTCTTCCTTACATATAACGTCTCTGATAGAGGAGAGTTTAGATTTTCAAAATTCAAATAGCATGTTAATGTCCATAGCGAACTAAAAAAGATGATATGCATTTTGTTTTTAAATAATCATGGAGGGGGCCGCGGTGACCAATTGGTTAAGGCGTCTGACATCCTGCTACCACTAGCCCTCCACCACTGGTTCGCGGGTTCGAGGCCTACATGGGGCAGTCGCCGTCGGTCGGTGGTTTTTCTCCGGGAACTCCGGCTTTCCTCCATCACTAAAACCTGGCACGTCCTTAAATGACCATAGCTGTTGATAGGACGTAAAACACAAACAAACCAAACCAAAATAAGCATGGTCGTATATAAAACCGTCCTGTTTAAACATACGACAGCGCATCTTTGAATTAACTTGATCGGAACAGTGTTACATCCTATCAATATTATGAAAGAGATGAACTTCAATCCTTATATTTACGTTCAAAACAGTAAAGACAATAATTTATCGTTCTTTGTGGTCTCGTGTTGATCAAACTTCATTTAAGCAAACTGGGTTTTTTTCTCCAAAAACAGCCACATGTGGGAGCCACGATTCTGCTGTCAACACAACTGTTATAGTTGACTTGAACATTATAGTCACTATTTTTCTACTTACAATGACACAAGGCTAAAGAGAAATAAAATGTACTTTTTATGACACATAATCTAAATACTGTCTTTCACCAATAGACTGACTGAACTTTTCACAACATGGGTAAATGTACAGTTATGTAGTGGTCGTGAATGAATTTGCATCAAGAATGGTCTGCTTAACGGCACGTTCAGATCAATATATATATACTGCCGCATATCAATGAGGTACACTAAAGACTACACGAAAAACATAACTTTCCGTAATGATATACATGTACCCAACTTTTAAGATATAGACTAAACGCAAATATGTAGACTACCGTAAATGTTATGACTACTGTAAAGATGTAGACAACACCAGAAAATTTAAACTAACGCAAAGATATTTATGTGGTCTCCAACTAATACTTTTGACAGATCGCATCGCAGCTAGTTTTGCTTCTTGTAATTGCTAATCGTAAACCAACAAAACACATTGTTTCCAATTGTTTGTCATTTTTTATTAAAATGACGGAGTTGAAATGATATAACATATATACAACAAGAAACGTGAATAGTGATTACTAGCTCGCAATTCACCAAAAGGTTGAGCATAACAACAGCACAGCCCCAGCCAGATACAGTTCAAATAATAAGACAGACAATAATAATCATCGACTAAATGGTGTAAACCAAATATATATAACACGCTAAGATAAAGAAGATCGAATATTGATCAGTCTTATGTTGGAGAGCAGGCTACCTAGCCCTAACTCCCTTTAATCTTTTTTTTCTATTTATGTAGGAAGGGAGAGGTAGTTTTACCTTAAGTATCGAGTGATACAGCTCTGACCAACTGGAGGTGTTGTCTCACCACTGACCGTGTCAATAATTTAGATGGCAGAAAGATTAAGAAACGAATGAAACAATATTCAAATATATCGTCACTTCTGAAGGTATCTGGCATTGACTGTTACATATATCATGAATCATGACTTAACACACACAAAAGGTAAATAAAATAATTTATTCTAAATTAAACAAATCTGTACTGTACAACACAATTTTATATACTTTAAGGTTATGGAAACTGAAATTGTATCCAGAGGTGGTGTATACATCTAATATATATATAGTACAATGAAAAGAGGGGTTGGATGGTGGGCGTGCCTTGATCGAAAAGCGTGGGCGTTTTGTTTTGATAAGATATTTAGAAGGCTTATTAGATGTAACCACATGAATGTATTTATCTATAATAAATCGTATAGACTACCCCAGATATATGTATATAATAAAGATATAGACTACAGTAAAGATATAGATTACAGTAAAGATATAGACTACAGTAAAGATATAGACTGCAGTAAAGATATAGAATACCGTAAAGATATAGACCGCAGTAAAGATATAAACTACAGTAAAGATATAGACTACATTAAAGATATAGACTAGAGTAAAGATATAGAATACAGTAAAGATATAGACTACAGTAAAGATATAGACTACAGTAAAGATATAGACTACAGTAAAGATGAAGACTGCAGTAAAGATATAGACCGCAGTAAAGATATAGACTACATTAAAAATATAGACTACAGTAAAGATATACACTACAGTAAAGATATAGACTACAGTAAATATCTTTACTGTAGTCTATGTCTTTACTGTAGTCTATATATACACTACCGTAAAGATATAGACTACAGGAAAGATATAGACTACAGTAAATATCTTTACTGTAGTCTTTATCTTTACTGTAGTCTTTATCTTTACTGTAGTCTTTATCTTTACTGTAGTCTTTATCTTTACTGTAGTCTTTATCTTTACTGTAGTCTTTATCTTTACTGTAGTCTTTATCTTTACTGTAAATATAAAGACTACAGTAAAGATATTTACTGTAGTCTATATCTCTACTGTAGTCTAGTAGTCTATGTCTTTACTGTAGTCTATATATACACTACCGTAAAGATATAGACTACAGGAAAGATATAGACTACAGTAACATTAAAAATATAGACTACAGTAATGATATAGACTACAGTAAAGATATAGACTACAGTAGAGATATAGACTGCAGTAAAGATATACACTACAGTAAAGATATAGACTACAGTAAAGATATAGACTACAGTAAAGATATAGACTACAGTAAAGATATAGACTACAGTAAAGATATAGACTGAAGTAAAGATATAGACTGAAGTAAAGATATAGACTACAGTAAAGATAATGACTACAGAAAAGATATACACTACAGTAAAGATATAGACTGGAGTAAAGATATAGACTACAGTAAAGATATAGACTACAGTAAAGATATAGACTACAGTAAAGATATAGACCACAGTAAAGATATAGACTACAGTAAAGATATAGACTACAGTAAAGATATAGACTACAGTAAAGATATAGACTACAGTAAAGATATAGACTACAGTAAAGATATAGACTACAGTAAAGATATAGACTACAGTAAAGATATAGACTACAGTAAAGATATAGACTACAGTAAAGATATAGACTACAGTAAAGATATAGACTACAGTAAAGATATAGACTACAGTAAAGATATAGACTACAGTAAAGATATAGACTACAGTAAAGATATAGACTACAGTAAAGATATAGACTACAGTAAAGATATAGACTACAGTAAAGATATAGACTACAGTAAAGATATAGACTACAGTAAAGATATAGACTACAGTAAAGATATAGACTACAGTAAAGATATAGACTACAGTAAAGATATAGACTACAGTAAAGATATAGACTACAGTAAAGATATAGACTACAGTAAAGATATAGACTACAGTAAAGATATAGACTACAGTAAAGATATAGACTACAGTAAAGATATAGACTACAGTAAAGATATAGACTACAGTAAAGATATAGACTACAGTAAAGATATAGACTACAGTAAAGATATAGACTACAGTAAAGATATAGACTACAGTAAAGATATAGACTACAGTAAAGATATAGACTACAGTAAAGATATAGACTACAGTAAAGATATAGACTACAGTAAAGATATAGACTACAGTAAAGATATAGACTACAGTAAAGATATAGACAACAGTAAAGATATAGAATACAGTAAAGATATAGACAACAGTAAATATATAGGCTACAGGAAAGATATAGACTACAGTAAAGATATAGACTAGATTAAAGATATAGACTAGATTAAAGATATAGACTAAGACTACAGTAAATATATAGACTACAGTAAAGATATAGACTACAGTAAAGACATAGACTAAGTAAAGATATAGACTACTGTAAAGATATAGACTACTGTAAACATATAGACTACCGTAAAGATATAGACTACAGTAAAGATATAGACTNATCAGCCATCTGTACAATGTTGTTTGATTTCCCACCACACACGTAGATGTTACCCTCCCTGTCCAGGTCCATTCCTCTAGCTCCCCTCACGACACCGACCTTCATCACATCCGTACGACGTTTGTCAG